CAGTTTCATTATGCCGAAAAGCTGTTGGTGTGTAAAATGCATTTTAGCGCACTCTGGCTTCACAAATCATCAGGTGCTTGTAGTGGTTCCTCAGCTTCCTCCCATAGTTGAGTTTTTTTCGCTAAGAAAACTTTCAGATATTGTAAGATTTGAGCGTACGGCCTACTATGAATTAACAGTTGAAGGTTCGAACTAATGGCCGGGAAGTCACAAGTTCGAAATTCCGCACTGGAGTTTCTTCAAATATGCGTTGCTGATGATCCCTAATATGGATTAAACAACCGTACGGTGCTTCTCGGTTTTCCAGCATAGACTGGTCCCACTGTCTCCTCCCCATAAGCCTGTGGATGATTTCTTAATATGAACGGAACTTTCCGCTGAGAAGGTGTCGCATGAGGAGCCAATGAATATTTTACCACATGATGTGGTTTCTGTGATGAGTAGCGCTATGTCCTGTCTAATTGACAGTCACTCACACTGTTGATCAGCTAGTCGTGAGTAAATGTTTAATCTATTGCACCGGAAGTCCGGTATGAGCTTTGTTAGTTCATCCTAACCTCGGTTACCCTGCGTTTTCTGACCGATCTAGCTAATATCTGAGAATAGGAGAATCTAAAATATCAGAAATTAGGCTGTAAAGTTGCACAAGCAAGCAGGGCAGCCATTCAGCAGCAGTACGAGCGGGCGCAACGTAAGTAATGCAGCTGATGGAGGTGAATCTCAGCTAACTTCACCCTTGATCTGAACAGGAAAGCCCCGAATTTTCGAGCTACATACACATCACTTCAGAAGTTATTTCTCCTAAAGCTTCAGCTTCCATTCTGGCTGTTGGACTGCTGCGTTAGATCCCGCGTAGTACCACCTCAACATCTTCAGACAAACCGAGATTCGTCCTTTGATAGTTCTAGTTCCAAAGTGTCTAAAACCTGAAGAACTAGTCGCTTTTGTCAGTCAGGCAGTACCAAAAACTCAATATTGATCTGCTAGGCACAATCCTTTAACGTCCTTTAACTTCAGGTGTCATCACAGTGTGATTCGTCGGACTGATTCTGCTTGGTAACATTGTCCACTCCTCGGATCGTAAGCACTGTTCCTCTACCAGAGGATCACAGCGTGACTTGTTTACAGTCTTGCTTACATCTTAAAATAATCTTTGAAAATCACCTGGGCCTTGCATTTTGGAATTTATTTTAAAGAGAGTTTTCCAATCTATCCACGCGGATGTTTCATCTTGAGAGTCGTGTTTTTCATTCATTTCGTAACCTGACGTCGGTGACCTTTGAATAAATAAGACTTACGGAGAATCTGAACAAAAGCTTCCATCTTAATTGCACATCCAAACAAATTTGTGTTTCCCAACTAGACCGTTCTTTTGACCATCTGTCCTGGAGGGTTCTAAGAGGACTTTGCAGGCTTTGGACACGCCGATCTTAACCAACCAATCCGGTTGGATCCAGACCAAACCCCTTACACGCACAACTTTCTATTCGGTCGTTTACTCTGACAAGCGAAGTATGATTGTATTTTTGGCATACGTAACAAGTTAACTGAGCATTGTTATCCACACCGGTACCTCTACATTCAATCTGGTATATAGGTGACGACATTATGTTATGAAGTCGATTTTGCCAAATTGCGGATGTAATTGTTGACCAATTCGTGGGTGTTTTGAAACTAATTCCAATTGAAAAGGAAGGACGTTAGGCTATAATGAACATGCCAGAGAGTGAGGTATTGAAATAGTTCAACTTCATCAGACGAAAAGCTAGTTGATCAGACCTATTTTTTATATAAAAAAACCACTCGCCTGTATTTCTGCAATTTCCTTTGCTGTTTTCATGGACTGAACGTAAAATCGATGAAACATTCGACTGAGAAAGCCACTAGTATAGTTTGGTCTGTAAATGTAGTTGCGCACAGTGTAGGTTTTGCGTCCAAATCTTGAAAGTAGACCTTCGGCGGAGAAAATCAGCTCAATCTGTAAGTACAGATTTGCAGAAAGTAAGACATAACTGATTTAAAAAACGACATGATCTCGTAAGCCGATACTTTAAAGAAGAGGTCACCGTAACGTTGGTCCCGGAGTAACATGTTACTTACGTCTGTGTGCAAAGGAATAGAGCATGTGCCATTTTAAACACATGTTGTTCGTTAGCTGTGTCCAGTTTTCCGCGCAATTTCCGTTTTTCTCCCGAATCTTTGACTGAAGGTTAAGTAAGGAACTGTCAGCAGGACAACACAAGATGGCTCTCCCCAGCCTTTGACTAACTTCTTTAATTACCAAAACAGCATTATTAGGCATGTCAGCACACAATGTCAGCACAAATTCATTCATGCTGACTGTCCGTCATCCAGTCATTTGGTGCTTCAACCTACTCACCATGGCTGTCCATTCAAACCCCTCATTACGGTGGGCTACTGATATCCACTTTTCGTACGAGCGCTTTTATGGCTTATCGTTCATTCGCCGGTCTAGGCAAAAAGAAGCCATCTATTGCGATGCTACTGACCAGTATTTCATCTTAATCCTCCTTTTAGGGAGCCAGCTCCTCAAGCACAAGATGAAAACATGTGCTGTTTCTGGAACGACTGGCTCATTCCACTTGGGCAGGGGTCTAGATGTCGACTGTTACGTTAAATGCCTGATGTCATCTTCATTACCGTTGTACTGTATGGTCACGTCAGCTGATTACTCTTGGTTGGACAAGATCCGACGGGAACAATATTTGCTGAAGGATTTCTAGTCGTGGTATGGATGTTGGGCAACGGGGCGGTGAAACAGAATGAGGGAACACAATGCTCACGGAGTTTTATTTGTCAGTATTCCTATTACGTTTGTCTCCACTTGTGTTGTTGTGTCAAATCAAAGCCCGTTTGGTTGCAATTCTGCTGTCCGCAATCTGGGCGATATTATCAGTGCATATAAGTTCGCGTTTCACCCGTAGGTCTATTGCGAATTCTCACTATTGACGTACTGACGTATTGAGCTAGTCCGTTTGGTTGCAATTCTACTGTCCGCAATCTGGGCGATATTATCAGTGCATATAAGTTAGCGGTGCTCCGTAGTGTGTCAGCATGTGAGCGCTGAGCAGTGCTGTGCATGTGTGCCTTGTCGACTCCCGAAAGTGATCTCTGATTACGACCGGTCTTGTGGATGTTCAGCCCCAGTTGCCGGATGATTGTCCAGTTATCTGATTGGTCGACGTCCGGACGACTTTTGAGTGAAACCAACACATCAAATGAAACCAGTCAGAGGTCAGCACTTCTCAGCATCCACATGCCCAAGTTACACCACCTACTTACTGCACACTGATGATGTCAACTCGGGTTAGTGACAAAACATCTGCAACCAAAGGTTCCTAAATCAGCAGCCGTTGCAACTGCATTCCATGGTTGGCCAAGTAATCTGGATGAAACTAACTAGCCAATCAGTAATTCACAAAACCTACATAAAACATCAGGATACAACTTCACCGCTGTGATATCGCATCCCAGTTCTCATTAGTCACTTCCCGTGCAAAAGTATCCTACCAAGAGGAGCTTTTCCAAATAAATGGGGGTATTGTTTGGATTTAGAAGTGTATCGCAACGATGGACCTTCTCCAATCTAGGGAATTAAGCAGATGGTTCAAAGTAACCAGAGAAAGACTTCCGCTTGGTCACCGTGATCGAGAGATGTTTGATTGCAATTGACGCTACTGCAGTCCATACGAACTCCTTGTCTGCTTTGAGCCAGTGCTTGGGTGACATCCTTCTCGGAGAACTCACGCTAAAGGGTTTCTTCACTCTCAACAAGTGGAATCCGAAGCACACCTTCTGAGACTTCTTTCTTGAGCAGGTAAATCGAGCTCTGGAACATGATCTACCGAGCGATCAGCTATCCAATCAGAATGCCTTACCCTCATCATCGAGTAGAAAAGTACAGAAGTACACCGAAATACTGGTAGATTGGGTGTTTTCACTGTTACCTAATCAGGTGGTCATTAATCCGTTCACCGAGCTTGAAAATTACCCTACACTAAGCTTGTAAGGTAACTGCCAAGACCGGTGAACAGACCACCTTGTCAGATACCAATACATAGGTACACACCGGCATCCTAGAGAGGACATGTTCTGCGGGTTTCTGTACCAAGATTGCTAAGTCGGACATGAAAAATATCATAGGACAGCCGGTGACCAAGAGTAAGGATTTATAATTGAACCTACATAACTAAGTTGGACGCAACGGACTGATTCACAGCAATGCCAGAACGTGGTTGGCCCCGTTGTTGGAAAACTTGAGATGATGGGTTAGTTGACGCGTCGTTTTTTTGACAGTCGTTGTCGGTCAAAAGATTTGGCGCATCAAGTTCCACATAAACAGCTACTGTGCTATTGTGATTATGAGGTATATTCTTTCCGCTATGAGGTTTACGGGCTATGTATTGTTTACATTCACATCACTTTCCTTTGAACAGTCGTCTTCCCATCCTGGGGTAATTATTCTGGAGATTCCACACCAAACAGGGGAAGCACTAGACTCGAGTTTCGCTCTTATTAAAGCTCATCAGCAGTGCATACCCAATGGCCATGCCGAGGTTTGAACTCCAAACATCTGACATTCGAAGCGAGTGTATCATCACAACTGCACCAGCGGACATTGGACGCATCTGAATTCTCACGTCCAAACAGGCGAATGTGTTCACGCTTGAGCTTGCCTATTCCCTAAGTTGACTTACTTAAGGCTTAGAAATAAGGATGTTGGGTTTCTTTGGGAATGTTCTTTATATGGAGGTATCAGTGTTGGTACGAAATGGGCGTTAATCTTACTACTTTATTAACTACTTTACTTTACTACTTTTTTTCTACATTGAGTATTAGCCTTTCTATAACCAAGTAGATGAAATGACACCAAAGACAATAGAATCCAGAAAATGGTCACGGCATGAAGATACTGAAACGTGACACCTGTTATTCTCTCCTCCACAAAAGAACTGAGGCAAAATGATGTATACGGTTGCTGTCGATGCTCGTGTGAGTTCAATGTGATCTAGTAGTGATGGCCTTGGAGTATATGTGCTTGTTTTATTGAGAACTTGTTCCCTGTTTATTTGCAAATGGAGAATACGTAGTCCTATTGTATGCTATCCCAAGGAAACACTTGTCATACGTTTGCATAGGTCGGATTAGGTGATCAGCTTCCCCTGTAATCTGCTAATTGCTTGGGTTGACCATTGTCAAAGATTTTTCGACAAGGACCATCGAGATAGCTCGGAAAGTCCTTGTTCAAACCCAGCTTTGGCATCTCAAACGCTGTTGTCTAGGCTTCGGTCACTCGCAATATCTCCGATTCCTTTGGGTGGCGTGACAGCTAGCTATCACATCGAAAATGAATTCTCGCACAGTGAAAAGCTAGCTATTACAGGTGGCCGATTATCACTTACTATTACCATCGAAAATGAATTCTCGCACAGTGAAAAACCACTGATAAACATGTTCGACGCATCCCATTCCAGTTAAAGTAAACGACATATTTGGAAGCCACGTTTTTGATAAGGCCAAATGATCATCAGCTAGTTTGCCCGATGATTCACAAACTGATGAAAGCTTCCCTTTTGTTGGTGAAGCTATCTAACTGCTGTGACCAACGCATTATAAGTTTTGGCTACTCCTCAGAAGGTAGGAAGGCAGTGGTAATCGGTTGGTGAAGCATGATATTTTGAAAGCGACTGTATTGGTTTTGTCTTTAATTTAATTAGTGCAATTACCAAAATGTAGTAGAACAGTTTGATACTTATGTGTCCCACTGATGAGTCTCCCTCGGCCTGTTTCAGCGTATCGAACAGGTAGTACGTCCATCATGCATGACATTTAGTGTTTAATCTTACGTATGTTGAGCATTTGTACAGTTTATTCAGTTTCGTTTACGGTCAGTTACCCAAAAAAGGACACAAGAAACTCACCCTCATTTCCTGACATTTGAACTGCGCCTTTCTCTGAACTCCTTTGATGTCGTCTACCGCAAGACCGACCAAAAGATTCATCATTACAATCGACATGATGGAAATGAAGCCCACAAAAATTATGTATGTAATGGTCGCAAAATACACCTGCTTTTCTACGTCCGTAGATTCGAATCGTTCGAACATGATCTGAAATGATGTGATGGAAACACAATTTAAGTATTCACCACCTAGTGTTTTGCATCGTGAAGTTAGTGTGGGTTGTACTATTCCACGTCAGTTTACTGTACGACACTAAACCACGAAACAGTCAGTAGGTATACTGTGTGTGAAACGCACAATAACCAGTGAACTGGGTCGAACTGAGATGGCGATAACTGCAACTGCGATTTCGTTGAGTTTTATCTCTCCCAATTTCAGTGTTTAGGCATGAGTTCGTATTAAAGACTGATTGGACAAATGTTGTCGCCTTAACCAGAATGTTAAGTAACCTCAAAACTGCCAATGTTATGCCTCCAATAAATTGACAGTATTCAAGGAAAACACACCAACCGTGGGCGAAACACTTGAAACAACACTGGAGACACTTGGTTCGAAAGCCAATCATATTGGAGGTTGAAATCGGGCAATTTAGCTTACAAACCAACGTTTCCTGGAAAATAAACTTGGGCCGGATGGAATGAAAGAAAATTCTGCCGTCCAGGTTGAGGTTCATGCAGCCCCCCCTTGTGCATGGCTGTATGCACTGAAATGTATGGCTGCTAACCGATGTCAGCAACGTTCTTGCTGTCAGTTTCCATCCACGTTGTTTGAGTGAGCGCTGGAAGTGGGGGCAAGTGGGATGCTTGTGGTAGGCTAGCCCTGAGTGTCGTTCCCTCCCACATCTCTTTCTTTATTCCATTATAAGGCATTATTGAAGTGAATTGATATAGTTAGCTAGCAGTGAAGCTCAGATGTTCTCACCTGGTGTCACTGTCAATGAGGATGATGAAACTATGACGTCTCAGTTCAATCTGTTTGGAATTTTGGAGTGTCATCCTTCTTCTCTCACCTAGGAGAACATGCTATTTCTATGAGATGTCCTCACTTCTTCTACCTGTTGGCTGTTTGCCAGGCCCATTTTAAGTGCAGATTTAGCCAGGTGCAGAAAATGGATTTTCGTAAGCGGCTGACTGAGGATCAAGAAGTAAACCTGCCTTATAGACGTAATTCACTACGCATAAGTTTGCTGAAAACTTTTTGACAGATCACGACCGGCTTCGTTGGGTTCCAGGTGAGTCACCAGTCAAAGTTGGTATGCAGATGGGTCAATTTCGCTAAACCTGCCTTGTTTTACCCGGAATTCGCATCTCGTTAGGATTTGGTAGGAATTCACTTGGTAAGTGGAGTTTCGCACACCTCTGTGGTTTATAGGCGGGAATTACGCAAGCTGGCCTGTCTTTCTTAGATGCCTTGAAGGATAATCCTTGGAAATAACAGTACGACATGGCATGTTTTGGGGTTTAACTTTGGATAAGAATGATCGAAGATGTAACCGTATCACTTAAGTATCTATTAATTTGTGAAGGAAAAAGATCAATTTTCAAAGGCGAATCTCCTAACCGTGTCACATCAGATAATCAATCAGGCTGCCAGTTCCTGAAAAAAAATAAACGTGATTCCCTGAGTGTTCATTTATAAGAAATCGCCTCACTCACCGCATTCGTGTCCAATTCACCAATGACCATTCCAAACGTTTTGACTACGGCATTTTTCAGGTCTCTAAACGGGATTTGATTAGCCAACAGGGCATGAAACGACAGTGCAAAGGCAAGTAGGAATGGCGAAAAAACAAGGAAGAATTTGGCGAACGTTTTCATCACGACGACGAACATGATGACAAATATTCCCACCTTCAACCCCGAGCGTATGAAAAGTAGGAGGTTGACCCAGGCAAGAAAGATCCCAACCGATCCAGTGGCCCATTGCCATTTCTTGTGTGAAGTCCGTTTTAGCGTTTCCAAAAAAGACAAAAAATTGCAGAAGTATGGGTGAATTCATAGAGGTGATTTTGAGCTGATCACGTGTCGTACTTGGAAGTATTTTACATTTGAGAAAGGCGGATTATCACTGAGTGGATAGAGATCTGAAGTGGACTGCCGCTAACCGAGTTTGTTACTTTACCGGTAGGCTGCTCATCCGATGGCCGAAACTGATGATTAACTTTCAGTCGTTTCGTAAGTGGATCCCCTCCCAGTGTTTGTACTTTTACGGCTTGCAATAAGTATCAGTAAGTTCGAACCTGATTGGCTGTTCATCCACCGTTTAGTCCGGTCCAATTAATTTGGCTTTTTATTTTGAAGTCTTTATTTTAGTTCTGTTTGCTTCTTATTTGTTCTTTGTTATTAATCAACCTATTGCGCCGGGTCACCCCTGTTGAATGAAGACTTATACATCTAAATTTGTAAAATATTCACCATAGGAACTTTTAACCGAAGTAGGTCGTCACGGTGATCTGATGAGGAGCATTCACAGGACGGACAAAAATTCTTAAATGGGCCGCTGACTCTGCATTACACCACAGCCATTTGACGCCAGTATTCCCCCATAACACCAGAAATCTCAAAAACACCTATGTTGCACCTAATTCATCATTTCTGTTTGATGTCAGCGGAGTTTCTGGTTTCCGAGACGTAAGGCAAGAACGCAACTTGCGTCTAACAGTTGTTTTGCTTGAACGTTTCACGAGTCAACTTCACTACACAAATAGGTAAAGTTGCTAGAATTTATCGGTCGGTAAGACTTGACTGTCTTGAAGGGATGTGCAGGACTTTATTGGCAATGGTTAACTTCTTCGTAACGAGGCGACATAATAAACAAGTAAATTAGCTTTCAATCCAGAATGGATGCAAGTATGAGGATTTGTGCACTACGACAATGGCACTAACCAAAAAACACTTTTTGTGATGGGGAATTTCAGTCATTTCAGCGGTGATTTTGTCAGCATAGTCTTACAGAAAGAAAATTCACTGGAAAATTACCGAGTTTCCTCACTCTACCAGAGGAGGAATAATGTCCGCGCGGTGAGCAAAAATTCCATTTGAGAAGTCGTCAGTCCAGAAACTAATGAACAGGTAACCACGTAATTAGGTTTATTTGACTGAAGGTTGTGTGGCACTAAATCCTGTTCAAGTGAAAGCTCACCACATTGCTAATCAGCCGCTCGTGGTCGAACGAATTAGTGATCAGCCACTGGTTCGAGACTCTCTGAGTGTCTTGATGATTCTCAATAAGCTGAACAGTGCTTCTCGGCTTTTCAGTGTAGACCGACTTCAGTGACAGGACGAAATCTCCATTCAAACTCTTTTTCTACAGTTTGCAGGTAGATAGAGTCTCCACAACTCGTCAGTGCAAATTATAAGTGGAGAAAAACTTTGTTCCTTGAAGCCAATAGGGTTTTAGCATTTGTCTGTAGACTGCTGGTAAAAGAGTGACTGTGGAAGACACTCACAGAGTAGTTCACTAAGTTTGGAATATTATGCGGCAAGGACGATCGTTAGTTAGAATCAGTCAAGTGCCTCGGAGGAACTCCGTGTTTGCAGCATAACAACTGGTCGTAGAACACAACCGATTGCGGACTGTTAGCGGTCAGCTCACACAGCAGTTATGTGGTTCAGGTCGTACTCCCTGTGGTTCACGAGTTTTCAACTCTTTTTTTGACATTTTAAGCTAGGTGAGTAGAAAAATTTATATCTTCCAATCATGCTGCGGTGTTTTTAAATCATATTCTCCCATATGTTCAGGTAAAACCTGTTACGTGAAGGGTTTCCGTAATTTCATCAAGCCCTAGATAGTGATTAAAACTGTATTTCTGAGTTAATTTTCATTCCAATGTGTTTTCCTTAAGTGAAAATCCTTCCAAACGCAACAAATTCAGTATGAGACAAAAAACAGCTCACACTACCCCACTGTTGATGATGCAACAAAAAAGTAACTTGGAAATATGCTAGTATGCCATATCAAAATCACCTCAGAGTGCCTGGACCACTGCCGCTCACTTGGATCTTACAACTGAAATAGAGCATCTAAAGTTAGTCTGGAACTTCCTGCAGCCCCGGAGCTTTATAAATGCACGTGTCCTCTCAAGTGCCACCGGGCTTCTGCCCTGAATGACTTCCCATTAGTATTTTTCAAAGACAGGGCTGACGTCCACAGTCAGCACTTGTCTGATCTGTTTGCCTGCACTTGGGAAAAAGATTGTCACAGACAACTGGGGGAAATCTTCGCTAGTGCCGTTATCACAAGGAGTTAACTTGACCTCAGTTTTGCTGAGGCTCTTGGCGTCACTTGCGCCGCGTTGCTTTATGGTGACTCGTCAAACACTGACTCGTGGGCAGCAATCGGGATTCCGGTCGCACTTGTCTGTTTGCCTGCACTTGGGAAAAAGATTGTCACAGACAACTGGGGGAAATCTTCGCTAGTGCCGTTATCACAAGGAGTTAACTTGACCTCAGTTTTGCTGAGGCTCTTGGCGTCACTTGTGCCGCGTTGCTTTATGGTGACTCGTCAAACACTGACTCGTGGGCAGCAATCGGGATTCCGGTCAAGTAGGAGTTGCGTTGCCCAAATCTTCACACTCCGTCAAGTGATAAAACAACGTCAGACTCACAATTTTAGTATCTCAGGATTTCCAAGACATATTCAACTCGGTTGATCGGTCTCTACTATTTGGCATGCTTTCCCACTGTTAGGCTTACCAACCATTGGTTTGCCTCTTCCCAACGACCTCATTCAGGTAGATACCACTTATCAATGTGACTGAGTCGACCCGCTAGGAATTTCGTGCGGGGTTGCCAAGCAGTGGACTGACTGGTTTGGGTCCTCTCCATCAAACAGAAGGTTGGGCAAAGAAGACTATATGATGAGAACGGGCTTCTGTCACGGGAAGTAAACGGCCTAAAAAGCATGACCTATTAGATGTGATCAGCTGATCCGTGGAGGAAGAGTGAACTTCCCCGAAACCCATCTGACGTACCTCAGAAGTGCAGTCCTGATGTTTCAACCAGACCCGCGCAATCTTTCGAAGGCACCGATTATTGATTGCAAAGTCTCCAAAGACTTTTCGCACGTAGCGGCCACGTCCCTGGTACATATAGTTAGACTAGTCGGATGGCGGCTTTTTGCACTCTATCCTTGACAATCAGGCTATCGTCACGCCAGTGCCTCAAATGTCGAATTTTGGCAAAAGTTGACCTTGTCTTCAGAAGCCAGGAAGTGATCTCGTCTTTCCGCGCTCCACCAGAACTTACGCAACTGCCCAAATAGATGAAATCATATATTTATCGATTCGTCCAGCCGCAAGCACGATGCTCAGTTTCCTTGTTTGAAGACAAATTTAGACTCTCCGGGAAAAGTTCTACCTCGAGAGGTAAATGAACAAGGTTACAAACTTCATACCAACAATAGCCTAACCAGAGTCTCGAATCACATTCTTAAACATCTTCCGTGAACTGAAATTGGACTAGACGAAACTAGGGATGTCATTCAGATAACAGATTTCTCCAGAATATGTCAAAGGATATGGTTCGAAGTCATCGTAATGGATGAATTATGATCCGAGGGAATGCAAAGTGACCTAATCTGCGGGGTTGAGGTGCTAACATTCCACCTCACTTGGGTCAAGACACTTCAACAGGCATGACGGTCCCATGGTAAATGACAGTGCTCCGTCGTCCCACTAAGTAATAACGTTAAGTCCACTGTTTGTTGCGTCACATAAAAGGTGTTAATTGTTACCTTTTGTCAGACTACATTATTGACTGTGACAAACCAAACCAACACACAATTTCGTGTAGATCAAGGTTGAGAAGCTAGGTTGAACTGTTATATTCCGACTTCCTCTTACTTTAAATATCTACAACTGATGGCTCACTTATTTCCATTCAAATCATGTTTTTTAAAAGGAAGGAAAACGATGTAAGTCCGAGCTTGGCTCAGAAACCGTAACAAAATCAGAATGCGCTTGAATAGTTTATTTACTCGATACCGCCCAAATTTAATGTTCGTACATAATGCGTAAATCTTTAATTGGATATTTTATCCTCTAAGTGGAGCTAATCAATATCGAAAAGAATGGAGGCACCGGAAAGCTGTTTCATTCTTATTGGGAACCATCAAAAGTGCGCATCTCAAGAAACTCCAGGCGATATCCCGACTAGTAGTTTGAACACTTCACCTTTCGCATTCAGACAGAAACAGATACCTACATCACGTAAATATCATCTGCACAGTGCTTGAAAAGTGAACATTTTCAAGCGTCCACTCGAATTTCACTGGGCGTACTTTGAACCACTGTAAATTGGTTCCATAATTTCTATAGCAACCTTCATATATCGTCAGAATCGGGAGCAGTGCTCGGACACTTGATAATAGACTACTGGCACACTTCATCCGCAGTATACGCCATTACAGTAGGAGCGCATACGATGTTATACCATCTTTTGTGGACATTAACTAGAATCCACACGAAACCAACAGTTTCCAAAGGTCGATTCTTCTGGATCTTTGGTAATAAAAAACTTCCTGCGGTGAAAACTGCATCATAGATACCAGATGTTAGTAGATACCACAAAAGTCCCTATCACTTTCCTCTTCATGATTTAGTATTGATTTGGTAGGGAATAAATATGACCATTCGTAAAACCATGTGACTCCAATCGCCTAGAAAACATCACTAGCGATGGCATTATCCAAGGGCATTTCGAAAGCATCCCACGGATTCAGCATCCGCACTTTTGGGGTTAAACCCCTTCCATAATGAGAGCGTAATCGGTCAACACTTGCATCACAGGAAGCAGTAACGCTGCTGCCGTCCAGTGATCATTATTTGGCAATTCTAAGAACCTCACATCCAAGATGGCTGCTCAACAGAGATATGGATACTCAGATTATCACGGCATCGATGCCTTAACTTCAAAGAAAACATGATAAACCAGAAGAAATGTTCGAGCCATCTGAACTCTTTTAAGGATTTTTGGCTAGTATTCTGCAGTGAGAAATATTCCTCATTTTCAGCACAAACTTAGCTACGGTTGGTTTATTCCTTAAAAAGTTCCAACACAATAGGGATTATGATATTTTGGTAGTGAAGGTGCAAGAAATCTGAAAGTCCTTATATGCATATGCACGTTATCCTGGGTGGTTCATCGACATCCGAAATAATAACTATCCATATCTGCTTAAGTAGTAGTCCAAGTCAGTTCCAGGCCACAATGGTGAACATCATTCAATGGAGTTGAGTCCTGCCGAAATTTGAAACCTGTACTTTCCCGACTCGAAACTGAACACGATTGTTCTACACACAAGCTGGCTGAACACGGATAAATGGCACTTTACAAAACAAGAGCTTATTGTTCTGGGTTAACCTAGATTTTAAAAAAGCCGGCCATACTTACCGTTCGTAATCCAGTCTCGTACATACACCAATCAGTGTCAGCTGTTGTACAGAGCGCCAAACTGTAAATAGTAACTTCAAGTAGGTTACCCAGAGTGATGTACCGTAGTCTCGCACGTAGAAACTGAAAGATCTGTCAGACACGATGGAGAATTATCCATTAGAGCAGTAACAGTATGCATACTGGAAAAAGTTTATGTTTACACATTCATATGATAACAAATGCAAACTGTATAGCTGAATGGTTGAGACACAAGATAACTCACCGGAATGCCTGTGGTTCGGCCTAACCCATGCATCCCGACTACATCTGTGTAAGGTTAGGAAACCTAGCATTACACTAGATCTTTTTCTTACCTCGGTGTGTACGATAACACAACCAATCAAGGCATTTACAGCTGTAAGCTGTTGTTTATGAAAAGACATGGACTGCCGTTTAGAAGGTTACTTTCGGAGACTTCCAAATCAAGTCGAACGTCTCACTAAGATTAGCGTTATGAAGGAAGGCTTTTTGGCCTTGCATTAGTTTAAGTTTAGAGATGCGTATCTCGGCATAAGGTAGGTGACGGATTGCAATTATCACCTATTCGGGTTGCCACGTAAACGGATCTCTTATGGGAGATAGTTTCCTACTGAAATATACGTCTAAGGAAAAACCGAACCGATATTGTCTACAGACGGCCTGTCCTTTGATTGGTATGACCGGATGGAAACAAGCCTCCAGACTTGGTACCCATCATTGGTGAACTGTGCTCAGTTTAAGTATAGGTCTTAGAATATATCCTCAGACTTTCACGAGACAGATTATATCATTCCGTCTACTGGGTTTTACTCAAAGGGTGAAAATGAACCAGCTGCCCATCATTTACGGCTACCCTACACGGAATGCAGGATGGAGAATCATGTCATATACACTTTTAAACATACTTCTACTACGTTTTTAAGATTGATAATCGAATTTCAAACATTTGCCACATTTGCTATGGCACAGACAATGGTAGTAATTGCTCTGCCTTGATACCACGCTACCCAAAGGAAACACGAGGACTCAAATACTGCCAGATTATTCAATTCCAAGCAGAAGTGATAGGGGCACTGAGGCTGGGTTAGAAACACGGATTTTCTGATCTGCGCCTTGATCAATGAACTAGCCCGAACCCTAATTTCGGTAAACCCCCGGAAAGAGACCTCACTGAGGCCGTTTGGAAAAAAATTTACATTGTTCTATAGCATTCGGCAAGGTCTGACTCCAGTTAGGGTTAATCATACTCGTTGCTGGTGTCGATGAGGATTTTGAAGGATACTCTTCAAATCCAAGAATTTTATGATCGTTCACGTGGTGCTACCATCAGGTCAGTCTAGGTAGCAGGATATATTTAGACAAATTAGAAAATCAAAATGTGCGCCAGCCTTCTGGTTTCATTCTTGCAAACCTCCTCCAATAAAGCTAACTTTGGTTAGGCCCACACTTTGGGTGTTTTCACGCGTTACAGCCAATTTGCCTAAGCAGTGGGGGAAAGAGCACTATGAACCAGGTTTCCAAAAACTCTTCGACAGTCCAAAACGGCTTTCGACCGTCTTAGAGCTCGTCAGGTAGAAGCAGTCCGCGGGTTTCCACTAAACCCATATCCTGCCCCACGCAAACTGTACGAAAGCTGTAAAGTACACTCGTCGGCGCGCCAGCTTGGTTTCAAAGGGGAAACTCAACTGCATCCCAGTTAAGTCCTTCATTTATAATATTCCGCAGTTGAGTGTGCTGTACAAAGGCCGTTTCATGCTTTACCTAATGTGGGCCGAAATATCAAAGCCAAGTGTTTATTTTCGTGTTGGGGTAACACAGGACTGTTGTTGAACTAAATGCACCGGTCGTGAACCATAGGTTTTGCTGTGTTCGAATTTCGTTCAGTAGATGTCAGTGCGCCAATAAAAATAACTGATAAGATGAATGTTCGTGCTTTGTTTTTCTACATAAAATTTAGACTTAAAACTTAACTTAACTTGCCTGTTAGAGATTCACAGAACACTAATGAAACCGAAAATTAGGGACACGTCCAAATTAGTTGTCCAGCTAATTTAGATATACAGACTTTATTTTGCGCACGTAATGTCCTGTACCAAAAGTGGTTGCAATTATACATCTGCCAAAGAACAAACCTGAACGCATTTTTGAAGCGGCCAATAAAATAGCACTAGTTTAAACAACATTTTGTTTACAGTTCTGCCACTTACTTCGAGCAAGAGACAGACAGTGGACAAAACCAGAACGCCATACTTCGGAACTGTGATGTGATAGGAATAGGCTTTGGTACTTGTGTTGCGTAACAGCTCACAAATCTCCACGGTTGTCATGTTCTCTTCAGGATAGCTGAGATGAAAAAAAAACATTTTGTTTACAGTTCTGCCACTTACTTCGAGCAAGAGACAGACAGTGGACAAAACCAGAACGCCATACTTCGGAACTGTGATGTGATAGGAATAGGCTTTGGTACTTGTGTTGCGTAACAGCTCACAAATCTCCACGGTTGTCAATGTTCTCTTAGGATAGCTGAGATGAAAAAAAATAAGAAATACGTGTCTGGTTGCAATAGCTTTTCCTGGGAATAATACCGCAATGCCCGAAACCTACTGACCCACTCAAATCCCCACCAAAACCGCAGTCGGGAAGCCGTCAAGCATCCAGGGTGGAAAAGCACGATTCCCGTCGAACTCCCAAACAGTTATTCAACTCATCAATGGCGGATGAGTATTCAGACACACCACAGAAACACGGTCAGTGACGATGATTGTTCAAGCATTTCATAGAGGCACGGTGTATGATGATTGGTGCTCCCGGTCGGGCAGCCTAGATTGACGTCAGAAGTGTCCTTGAAATATCGCGAGGCTCCTTGTAACTTTTCCACTCGTTTGTCCACAATAATGCTGTCGATTTCATTGTTGACGAGTCTTTTTCCGACTCTAAAATACTGAATGTTTTAGCCGCATGGTTCAAAGCTTCCTGGAGATCCTGGAGATGCGCACAGCTGACTATTCCAAATAGGGATGAAATAGCGGTTCAGTGTTCTGCGGCTTTTCAGCATAGATTGGCTTCACTTATGGGTCGAAACTCCACCAAAATTGGCACCATTAACCAGAAACTGTCTCACAGATTTTACAGGTTATCTGAACTCCTGATTGGCTGGTCGATCGATGAGCACTACCAGTCGAACAAACAGGGAGCTTATGAGCCCGTCTTTGCAGGTTAAACTGTGTAGTTTGACAGTATATTTACTGTTTCGCATCGGTAAGTTTGAACAAGTACGGACTATTTAGGACGCGGAGAAAATCCGACGGAAAAGCCACTTACAGGTCGATGAACTGATGGCAGCCAGAACCATTTAGCATTTTTTATGACTCTTGATTTTTCTAGGGTTTAGCACCTTCTGAAATTCAGTATTAACTCCAGCAATTAGTGAATGCAGCCATAAAACATGTCGAATAATCAGCTTAAATAGATGAAAGCTATGCTTTTTGCGTATGACAAATTCCTAAACTTACTCGACCCACATGGTTTAGGTAAAATAAATGTCTGGTATAGTGACAATGGCGTTTTTACGCAGCCCTGAATCTATGAATCCATGATTCCAGGCCAACAATAACCAGCCTGACTACCCCATTGACAAGATCCCGTCCATTTGAGAAAAACCCTGTTTGAATAACAGTATTTATCCGAAAATTCGTTGAATTGTACTTTTTCACCCACTCCTATCCAAAACCATTTTCACAACGGGGTCAAAAAGTGTGCTAACCGAAATCAACTAGCTATTGAACTCCGCAAGTTGTTTAATGCCTCCCACATCACAAATTGTTGAAAATAATCAGTCACCAAAGTGGGCCAGTGAAATCTCAGGGCTAAATATCCGGCCAGCCGTGAAAGGCTGGCTCACACCCAGTCACGAACTCTGTCTAGCATGACATTCCTGACATGACATTTCTTAAGTGAAGCATTATGTAACGGATGGATAATCAAACTAATAGAAACGTCAAAAATAACCCATTAAAAATGGAAAATTAGGCATTTTGTCTAAAAAAAAGAACAAAATAGATTTGGCAAAAGTTGGGCGCAAAAAATCCCTGAAGAGTGACTTTCACTAAAAGGGGCGTTTTTGGATGGATAGAGTTAGCCATCTGTTGTGGAACCATCCTAGAAAAGCCATTCCCAAAAAGGTTCATCATCCGTTACTTTCTTTCTTCAGTTGGATTACTAAGATGCTTAAGCATTCCGACGTAGTCTGTCAAAAACAGCCAAATCTAAGAAGAGAGGCTGTCCTAACGGTATCTTGTTGTGCAGTCTGAGAAATCATCGGCTTGACCATCTAGGCTCTCTCATCCGTAAGAAATTTGGCCAAGACAATAATCAACTCACAGCATGTATGGTGGTTGTGTTTGTAGCATGAAAGCGGAAAACAGACAGAGGAACAACACGTAGGCGACCAGGCCGCCGTAGTAGAGGAAACAGAATCGACTCCATTTGAATGCAAGCAAGGCGAGCACCAGCTGGTGGTTTAAAAGATCTTCCCGATCATTCAACAACTGAAAATAAACCGTTTTTAATAAGATGCTATTGAAACAGGTATCTTACCATCTCCTTGACTGGGTGAACACGCTTCATCTTGTCCATTTTCACCACTTGGTTTTGTTCTTTTTTTGTAGGACTATCAAAGACAAAGTGTTCTTTCAAGCCACTGGAATTTGCTGGAACTTCATCCTGGAAATTACAATAAATTTATTTTATACAAAGCTCAACCCCAGGTCCCATTGTTATCACATCAGTTAGTTGAAGCCGATTACATTGTGCATTACAACTTCCTCCGCATGAAAGTTTTGTTTGCCAATCAGTATTCTTCTGGTAATTCTGGTTCCACGTAAGCCTGAAATTCAGATGTCCCTTTGATACAGCCATTCTAGTTTGACTCTGGTACGTGACATGTAGAATACACAACTGTGGCTATACTATCGCATTCAGACACAAAATGGAGCCTTGAAGTTTATTTTTTACCGTTTTGATTTCAGTGTATATTTGAAATAGAAACGTCGGATTCTGAATTCAGGTTTCAAAGTTTGCTTTGGCACGTGTTCTTTAGTTCTGGGAGGCTAGAAAAACTGTCCTTGAGTTTCGCCAAACTACTTATTTCCGGCTATGAAACATCTGTTGATGTCTTTTGTTCAAACAAACAAGGAACATCACAGGGAAGGTCAAATATTCACATACCTGACTTCATTACCACAATCCTTCGAAAGGCAAGTAAACCAGAACGATTTTTCCCATAAACTTGAAAAGACAGGATGAATCGCTTCCTTGCTAAGGTGTTAAATATACTGTTGGAATTTTACAGTTCGCTAGTTGTAACAGCGATGCCCTTCGCACTTCAACTCGTAGCTCCTAGTCGGTTCAGCCTTTTGAAAATTCCGATATACTAACACCTTAATATATACAAAAGAAATTTTCAAGCATTCTGCAATATCATCATCAGCAAAAGCAGCATAACACCAGTATTCTGCACTCGTGTTTTGCTGCTGTACAACCGTAACTTGTTTGAAAGCCTTTTATGAAGAAAAGGTTAAAGATGGATAGGAAAGAGACTTAATGCTAAGCTACAACAATCATTCCATATCTTGTGGCGTCTCAAACCAGGCACCGTGAAGGTGACGTGGTTTACATTCTGAAAGACGGCTCAAATCGCTAGCACCCGGAAGTTTCCTAATCTGTTTCATAACTCTCTCTGCTTACGCCACTCCGATTTGGATACTGAGAACAGCCCCCTTTCGAAAAAAGATGTATCGGTAAGAGAAACAGCGCAACTTCTGGCCACCTCCCATAAGCATACGACAAAACATTTTGATACATATGTCCCTTAAGATTTAGGGATATGACGCTTCACCGCCGTGAATTAAGCATAACAGTAACAAAAAGGATGAACTTTTTGCACATTTCTGCACACACTTGCATCACTCCTAAAACAAGCCTATGAGACCTGGCAAAGTTGCTGATAGTCTAACTGAATGGATGCGAATTACAATGGGCAGTCAGTCGAAACCTACTCTTCATATGTATTTGTTCGAATAAACTGCTCTTCAGGCCGATGGCTCCTAGGAGTACAGTTGGACGGATAAGCAGTCACTACAATGAATTGTGGCACAAGACTCCTCCCACGCAGTGATATCACTCGATGGGGAAGCGAGCATTTTCAGGGAGCTGGTAGCGATACTACCTCATCATCAAGCAGGTTTATGACATGACTCTCAGGAATTGGTTGCCTGGCTAATCGTCAGTATACTGTTGACACCCAGTACAACTTATATCAGCCTTGTTGTCTTCCGGACAAAATTTATCCTAGCAAACCAAAGAGGAAGTGTAATGCAACCTTCTGAATTAAGTTTGTTTTTGGTAAGTTCTACATGTTCTTGTCATTCCAGCATCTAAACAAAAGATGTATTGCGTATAAGTGTCACGCAGTCAGTCAATCGGTAGCACTATCCGGACACAACTTTGAGTGAACAAAGAAATGTAGAGTATACATGATTTGGTTGTTGGTCTGTTCGCCGAGCTTGCCAGTTGGATTGCAAAAGTTCCATCACCAATCGAGGCGACATCGTTAGTGCAGGGTTGAGTGGATGAATTCCTCCTCTTCTGCCTGTGATTATACATCTTCTAAACAGTATCTGGTAGTTCTGGAAACGGTCGTCGTGTAGTTTGATTGGTCTCCTGTGAATATGACGTGGTCTCAATCTCCTGTGTCTGGCTGGTTCATTGGGTGCATAAAAGTTCGGCAGAACTGTTTAGAAGCTATATAATCACAGTCGAAAGAGGTGGAATTCACCCACTCAACCCTGCACTGACGATGTTACCTCGATTAATGATGAAACGTTTTCAATCCAACTGCCAAGCTCGGCGAACAGACCAACAACCAAACAGCGCACCCAAGCTACCTACATTCCACAACATTGCTAGTATACGTGATTGTTGTACGGGAGATTTGCTTCACAAAACCGGTCGCATTGGGAAGTGGGTCAGTGGCCTTGAAAGGCCACTGGCGAGAGACAGTGGTCTGGGAAAATCCATTACAGAAACTGATAGAAAAGCCTCTGATAAAAATATAGGTTTATGGTGGCTGCATTCAAAAAAGTTAATTCTGGCTGGAGGGTCGAAAAGTTGGCTACGTGAGCTAAGTTGTTGGCGTTACACAGTGATTAGCCACATTACGTCGTTGGTGGCTTGGTCAAAAAAACATCTGTCCGGTACGTGTGGGGTTCAAAAATTCCTGTTTTACGCGTATTCTGTGATTCTTGCTCCAGGTTAGTTAGTTTCAAAAAGTCGCGATTATCGGGAAATGGGCCAGTCACTGTGAAGAAGGGTATAAGATTGCCCGTCCACTGTAGTCCTCAAAACATGATGTATTACGGCCTGAAGAATCAGAGTCAAGTCAGGTGCATGTAAGCAATAATTAGCCAAGGTAGCTGAAGGATAGTGATTGATGTCCCAGTTATCAATTCAGCTTAAGCGTCCTACCAGGTATGCATCATCAGATCTAAACCCTTGACTCACATTATTATGTTCGATATCTTCAGTGGCAAGAAGGGACTTCATATCTGATTCGTGAGCCCCAATCTTTCCAAACAAGCGATTTCGTGTTTCATCCACACCCATACAGTCATCCAAAAACTCAAACTTGAAGGTGATTGTATGATCTGCAGCGTGTCTTGGAGCAGAATTTCTTTGAATGCATCGTGATAAGGCGATTTCGGCCGCAGCTTTTTTCAGCAAAGAAAAATCAAGCATGAGTCGTTATTAATCATAACAATGGAAAGAATAACGAGATAAAAATTCGGACACAAAAACTGATTGTACAGTTTTTGTAATCACTGCGTTTACCCCAACGCTCCCCTATATGTTAATAGAATGTATTGTCTGAGTTTTGCCAGTAGTGCTCTTTTAGCCTAGATGAAATACACTACCCGTACGGTTGTCCAAAATCTCTTCAACAGCCCAAGACTAGTTTCGCCATTCTTGGGTCTCAGGCTGGCGGCAAACTTGCGTTCTACTTGAACCCAAGTCGGACTTTTCACTGATCTTTTTCATTGTATGATTAAGCTTCCAGGATGCTGATCCAGTACCTTACCCAACATATTTGTCAGTGCATGTGAAATAATTTTAGATGCTCCCGAAAAACCAACTCGCCGTTCTAGCTGAATGCTAGAAGGGACAGCCTTGTTATCATCTGGTAGGATCATTCCCCACCCCTTCAGTAACGTTGTACGTAAGCTCAAATTTTCCCTATCTTTAGTAACAGTTTCCTCTTCGGTAAGCACGAAACAGCTTTCAGCGTGGGACGACTACCTCGGCTGCTTTCTGTTCTAAACGGACTGAACCCCCAGCACCTATCATCCAATCAGAATGTTACTTTTCTCTCAGGCCACATTGGTATAACTCACCAATCGGTGTTCAGCGTGCGCGAAGTAACTTGTTTTTTCTTCAGGGATTCTTATTCGGCTCTCTTTCAACTATTCAGGAACGCACAGTTAAGAAGTAACCAAGTGAAGCATAATCCTGGTCCTATGTTTAATCAGTTTTAGTACATTTCAGCCCGTGCTCGGTCATCAAAGTAGATCGCTTACCAACTGTGGCTGACAACAGGCTGGATGCTTTTCAAATCTGATTATGGTTGATCCTGTAGTCAGTGTTACCATGTTTCTTCAATATATTTTGAGAAAAATTCAAGTTCTGAATACGTAAACTACCTGCAGGTAGCAGCCATCAAAAAGCAAAGAACGTCTGGTTAAAACTGAGAAATCTGATTCATCGTTATCAACGTTTCTGGCAGGATAACAGATTACGGTAGCCAAATTTGCTTCTTATTGTTGAAATATAGATCATAATGTCTAAGGTTCAACAGGGCAGAAACATCTGTGGAGCATCACAAACCGCATGAAGCATTTCTCACCGTGCAAAGAGGCTGATGTTTAAGCTGATCACTATTGATCTCCTCACCGAGCTTGGCAAGTGACTTGCAGACGCTTCCAACCATGCCAGGAGGCCTCACCAATGCACTGTTGCTGTTTCTGCACAATAATGAGGTTTCCTTGAGTGACAAGAAGACACCTGCAAATCAGCTGCCGAACTCAACGAACAGGTCAATGACCATTTGATCAACTACCAATGATTGCACTCTGGCAACTAATATCCAATACACTGCCGCACTGCCATTTTAAAATGGAGGTACATGTCGTTTAGTTGGATGCTTCATGCATGAGTTATCTGGCTCGGTATCATCACTACGTAGCAGACAAGCAGCGGAACTTGGGCTTGCTCGGGTCTGGTGTACGGGTGCACTCCAAAAATCATGGCTAACCTTCGACAAAAACTTGGGGATCCCTTGGGAACATGCCGTTTCCTGCTAGCGCTTTTTAATCAAGTAGATTTGTTATGCTTGACAGTATTGCAGGCTTATTTTGATGGTGGAAACTTGGCTCCGTTCACTGAATGATGCAGCCTAGACGGACAACCAGCGTACAAAACTACACCACGAAAGCGATTCTCAATTGATCGATTGTCAGACTAGGCCTAAACGTACAGATTGAGAAGAGACATATGTCGGTCCTTTACCGGTGACCACCATAAACCCGAAAAATGCGACAAAAACCTCTGTTCGCTTATGGAAACAGCTCCACAAATTGACTCATGGTTGAAAACGGATCGCACAAAACAATACGAAGAGTACTTCTGTGTCGCCTACCTGGCATATCACTTATCATCTTGCGTAGTGGTGTATTCACCGTAACGCGGTTCTCATAGGTTTCGTTCCGTAGTGCCGATTCCCACATATTACTTTTCAGGATGGCTTGGACGCAAGCACTGAAATTACACAAATCAAACTGATCACTTCACGCTTTAATTAGAGTGATGTAGCAGGCAGAATCAAGTAAAAATTGAAACCATCCAGTCAGAATGAGCGTGTTTTGCAGTAGATATTCTTTGGGAGCAAATGAAATACAATCCAACCAAAAATGAAAAATGGCGTACTGTCTACGGAATATAGGTAGTACACGCAGGGAGGAATAGGTTTGAGGCCATCGGGCAATAGGTCATTGCTCAGAAGTTAAGTCATCGTCAGTTCACTTAGTACGTACACGTAAACGCGGATCCCTATTCCTCATTTGGTCATTGTCCGATATGTTTCTTCAAAGTTCTGAAGGCCACAATGTGAGGCATCCTGGATGGGTTTTTCGTTAGCTCTCTACTGATGATTGGAAAGAATTTTCTGAAGACCTCCACAGATACTTACTCTGAGATTAAACAATCTTACCAACTTGAAGTGATTATTGTCAAACGATATTCTTGCTGTCATCTAACCTATAATTCCCATTGACTAAGTCGATCTAAAATGTATAGATTAACCTTTCCGTGAAAGTTATCCTTCACTGTGCTGTTTCTCGGCCCCTATGCAACAGATCTGCATGGCATTATATTCAACCCCATCGTTTTCACGCACGAGTAACCCTATTTCGTTCCACCAGTCGAACTAAGGACTCTGGGATCTTCGCGCTTTCTTTTCTGAGGCCCAAGGGATCCTTCTTGTAGGCGGTTGGAAATCATGCTGGACAAAGCGTGCATCTGAACCAAGTGCCTGTCGTTTCCTACCCCGAATGCGTTGTGCGCTGAGATTACGTCTGATGTATTTTGCAAAGGATCCTGGGTTGACACCCCTGATGGAGCCCCACTTCGACGTCATGCTCATGTTTGTTTATTTTACTATTCAAAGGTGGTGTCAGCTTGCCCTTGAACGTCTTTGGTCCGTAAGAATAAATGGATCGTTCTCACTCTTCAAGGCTTTCTTTCCTCATAGTTGTGCGACAGCTGAACACCAGTATATATCATTTGTGCATAGTTGTCAGTTATTATGATGGTGGGATGTTCCAATACGGACCCCACTTTCCTGCCTCGGTGAAGATATCTTCTACTAATCATTCAACTTTTAACCCAGTGTAGGAAAGTCACAAGAGATATGTGACGGTCGTTTCTCATTCCCTCTGTAATCTACTTGAGTAAAATTGGGAAGAAAAATTAGCGACTCTTGACCTCATTTATGAATGTACTCACAAGTGGTTTGCGTCAATCGCGATATCCAAAGCGTTCCAACCGGCATACTGTTTATGATACATTGTAACGCAAAGTCCGGGATCTGCTCCTGCGTCCAACAGCAGGTTGACTACATCCACGTGTCCACCACGACAGGCCATAAACAGTGGTGTCATCTGTTGTTGGTGACAGTTTCCGAAGAAAAAAATCAAACATTTCGGAGTTTTGCTCAAACACAAAACAGACAAAAACTCGCCACGCTTTTCCTTACACGACCATGTCGCGGAATGACATACTGGATAATTCATTTCCTGGCCGATCGTTTTAGCACTTACGTCATTTACGTGCCATTTACTAGAAGCATCATCTATTTGAATGATACGGTAAGAAGCCAAACGCCGCGGGTGGTTGACATCTCTCTTCCATGTCGACAAAGCCACCTTACAAGTAAGAATGAATAGCATGCAGAGGAACGAAGAAAACCGTGTGACAGTGAGGTTTGTTTCTTAATTTTAAGGCCTTTTGTGTACACCAGTTCAGTCGGTATTGATCAAACACTGAAGTTTAGCCATTTTGAGTTGACACCTTTTAGTTAAATTCTGAAAATTGTTCATGGATTTGACCATGCCATAAGTGAACAGGAAGTCCCCAACGATCGATGAGACGATTTTCGGATCAGTTCTTGCAAGCCATCAGTCGATCGATTGGTCATGTGTTTGAAACAACAAGACCAATATTCTGAGATGCGCTCGCTTAAGCTTCTGTCAGTTCTGCTAATGTGGATCTCAACACAACTGAATGTGAACTGGTATGCAACGTGTGGATTAGAAAGATTGCGCACGATGCTCGATGGCCATCAGAGGTCTTTGCAATTCGTTGGTCACTTTGAACTAGGAAGCAAAAGCAAAGCATTTGAGGGATGGATGAACTTTGTAAGCTGTATTTCTCCGCAAAGCGTGTAAAACAGTGCGCACTGGAGCCCGAAACATTTACAAAATCCTTGATCAATGAATCAAGGCGATAAGAAATTGATTTGCCCCATTGACGAGAGCAGAAGTAGTTTCTGACCTATGGTCCTAGGGTCTCCATAAACTGGAGTGCGAAAAAATCTCTTTTGGACGATCTGGCTTGCACTAATGCCGGTGCATACCACCGGTAGACTTTCTATGCACCGCTGATGAACATCGATGAACAGCAAACCGAAGTCGGATGCGTTATCTCTGTAGGATAACTAGGGATATATGCTCTGTAGGTAGGGTTCAATCTCCATCCATTAGTTTATGCAAACCTGAACTGCTCCGTTTTAAAAAAAGCTTGCTTCATTTAAGCACTGGTCTTGAGCCCATCATTTGTAAGTACGATTCAACGAGACCCTAGCTTCTTAATATATTTAGGAAAAGTTTTATTAATAACTCAGCTGTAAGTGCGATTAGCCATTTTCCTACGTGTTGCACAAAGTAAACCTGATTTGAATAGCGTTCTTTCAAGAATGAGGAACGGATTTGTTATTAACTGAGCCTAAAAGCTTAAAACAAGTAGTATTGTCAACATTTTCCACAAAAAGCCTCTTGTGTGGTGCACGTATATTACAGAAAGACAGTGAGGAAGTTGGATAAAATACCCGATACTCTCCTGGATGTCAATGAAATCGCAAGGCACCCAACCATACTCCTTTACTGGAAACATAAATACAAGATCTCATTTCTGTGACCACGAAAGAAATAGCGGTAGCCCAGGTCATGCGACAGCAAAGAAAACAAATTTTGGGACAAACTGGTATTGGCAATATAAGTGATTGTGTAACCTGTGAAATCAAACCAGGAAGTGAATCGAACAGATCAGTAAATTTTAACACGCTGTACCTATAAATGCATTATCTGTCTGTACTAAGTACAACCGGCGTATCTCCTGCATCTTTGGGCAATTTTGTGGCCAGACAAGGGAGATAAATGACCTATGTGGAAGGGTTGAGAAAGTCTTGCTAAGCTGGTATTAATAATGATTTAGCAACGGTGATGCACTCTTCAACGCATACACAGGCAGGCTAGTTATACGAAAAGTTAGGTTCATACAAAGTGTACTACAAGTTAATGGAATATTAGATACGTTTATCGTATTTGGAGGGACAAATGCGGCGAGCTTCAAGTAAACGTAGCAGTCACGTGTGCTTCGGATGACGGAGTATCGATTTCGTATTCCGATGTTCTCAAGGATGTACAGCGTTGAGAAGACCTAATAAAAAGGGAATATGAGTCCAGTACTTCCGGATTCTAGTGAATATCATCAAAAAATCACATCAAGTTTCCTAAAGAGCTCCTCTTGAGGAAGCACTCGAATTTACTCGGTAAATCCATGTAGCTCGTTCAGACAGATGAGCCACCAGTTTTCCTATCGAGAACTGGTCTTCGTGAAGAAATTGCCGATGTCGATTTCGTTAAGGTGGGATTGTATGGATACACGAAACCTGTGCTTGCACTCAATCCTCTGGTCTACACTAAAAAAAACGATCTACGTTCAAGTGCCGTGAAAATAAAAAATACGCCTCATTAAAGAAATTCCCGGACGCAAAAAATTTCATTGGACTACTTGCTAGAAGAGTTTCAGCTGGACAAGAGGTATAGGTGATAGGTTTAAGTCCATCTTACATTTGATTTGTCCATCGAGTCAATCTTTGCACCTTGATCAATCAATAATTTGACACATTCCGGACGATTGTAACCGGCAGCAAATGTAAGCCCTGTGCTTGACTCAATCCTCTGGTCTACACTAAAAAAAACGATCTACGTTCAAGTGCCGTGAAAATAAAAAATACGCCTCATTAAAGAAATTCCCGGACGCAAAAAATTTCATTGGACTACTTGCTAGAAGAGTTTCAGCTGGACAAGAGGTATAGGTGATAGGTTTAAGTCCATCTTACATTTGATTTGTCCATCGAGTCAATCTTTGCACCTTGATCAATCAATAATTTGACACATTCCGGACGATTGTAACCGGCAGCAAATGTAAGCGGCGTCCAGCCTGAAGTGTTACGCTCATTGAGCTGATGTGTATGTTCCAAGATAACCTTCAGCACCTGTGTGAAACCATGCTTAGCCGCTAGATGCACTGCGTAGTTGCCGTCCTCGTCCCGTTCGTAGGCCACTAGCGGAGTCCGTGTTAGAAGCATCTCCACAATCCTGGGGAAGAAAAATCAATAAATGTTGAATAACTGACCCGATGTGGCAGTACCGGTGATTTAACCAAGACTGAGCAATCGATAACGCTTAGGCTATTTGCCAACGTATAAAAACCGACCCGACCATTTGAATTGACCTCCGCGTTCACGATCGCCAAGTATTCACACCTTGGCCGAAATTCCATAACGCGCGATCTCCAGACTGATTTGTACGCGAAAGTAACAGTATACTACCTGATGAACAAGGCAATTTTGCGCCCTTTACATGTGCGCATCCACCGACCTATATGCCATCCGCTCACACAATGGAGTCTCCTGATGACCAGTAAGGTGTGACAGCTCTGCAGTGCTTTTTTTCGGCCGCAACAGTTCCAGCCAATTCGAATTTGTACCACATGGTTTCTGCGGCCACATACCACAGTATTTTCTTCCAACCGCATCCCTGGTAATACATGCACACTGCCAGACGTTTAATCTTACTTAATGTAATTGCAAATATTCGCTCTAGAGGAAATTCGACTCACAGAGTTCAACCTAGGTCCTTAACGTTCCAAGCATCTGACCGAAATTCAGGCTGATCCAACCCTTATGCATGAGTGTGATGTGCCGTCTCCACTGGCAAGCACATTAGACTCCGTGTACGATCCATCGTCCGGAAAGCTTTATGAAGCACAGTAAACTTTAAGTTAAGGGAGGTTCAAACTGACCGGAAGAGCATACATGGTACTTCAGAGTTGAAAAGAATTTCTCCATAATATGTGCCTTGTTCATTCATACATTACTTCTAATGCTGGTTCTAGAGCAGCTTTCGCGTCGGCGAGATTTTCTACAAAATACTCACCCGAAACGCCCGTGGATAGCAGCAACATGTAATGGGGTGTGTTCGTTTGCGTTTTTCACCATTACGTTGGCTCCAACGTCCAACAAAAACTGAAAACAATAAGGTTGAATATGTGATTAGATGAGGATAAAATAACCACTAGTGGGTTCGCTCTAGATTAACTTGTGTGATGACACCATGTAAAGTAAATTTTAGGTGTTTAACCAGCCACGTGTGAGTGTGGTCGGTAACCCCGGCGTTGATCACACGGCCAAATCAAGACAATTGATTACAGCTAAACCAGTGGAACCGCCCGGCTGAACAACCAGTCGTGACTGAAGGTCACACGCGATTGGCTGCGCACACCACCACCACTCCACCCCTTGACAACGTACTGATGATATCACCTTGATTATGAAACACCTGCAATCAAACCAACGACCGTCTTTGCTAGATGACTTACCAGCATTCTCCTCAATGGCAACTATTTCTATTAAGCGGTGTTTTTAAACATGAAGAGGTGATAAACAGATGTGACAATAATTCAGGATCCTCCTCACCCCAAGTGTTACCGCCAGCTTGGTTGATGTATATGGTATTTTCAGGTTACCCTTCCCGAGAACTCCGTAATAAATCACCTTTCTGCTCTTCTAGCCTTTGTGGGATGACCTCATGACTGACGCTTCTCACTTCTCTTATCAGGGGAACCGAAATTAAATTTTGGGATAAGTTCCTAAGTTTACACACTATGCCCATGATAAGCAGTTATCAACCTGGTGTTGATGACTACTGGTCTCTTCAAATGTAATCTACAAAGTAGACTACAAAGTTTTTAGGGAACTTACCTTTGTCACTGCCAGGCTTCCAGTTCGAACTGCTGCATGAATCGGTCTGTTTTGTCCAATGTCTTCTCGCTCAATAAGGGCAGAACCTTCTTCAGTGTTTTGGAGCAGCTATCGGGTACAGAATAGATAGAGACAACATTACTTAGTCCTCATACACACTCGTTTTTAGTAAACCCGGAGAAAAACTCTTTTGTTGTGCATTAATCTGAGAAAACAGGAAATGAAGGAGTGATAGATATTCACAAGACATTTTCAAGAATTGCGGCAGTTGAATTTGTGCCAGTCATCAGCAAGCAAAACTCACAGTAAGTCCCATCAGGATGCTTTTGGACAGGGTTCACACTAATGATTGATTTAGTGGTTTTAAAGCTAGTGGATTCCGGGGCGCGTTCCCCTAACAATCTACGTTCTTGGTCAATTAAATTGGTCGAATTAATCCATCTATCTGGCAGGCTTGCTCATAATACCGTTAATAGTAAACAAGCATTTAACTCCCCACACATTGTTTTCTCTAAGCTTTGTTGACAAAAGTACACCCGAGCTATAAAATCTTCGTTTTGTTACCCCGTCGTCCGTTTGAATGAAGAACGTCGGCCCACGATATTGCTGTATTAAATTAAAGACAAAGTGCCTAGGAAAAAATGAAAGAACGAAGATCAGAGAAGCAAATACATTTGGAGTACAAGCAGGTAAACAGAAACGTCGTCTCGGTCACATTTGGAGTTGTTGACCAGTCACAGTGACGGAGTTTCAAAACAAATTACCTTGCATTTTACCTCCGCGGATGGAGCAACTCTCACTGGAGGGGGCAGGAGCATTACTATATCAAATTTGTTTCCCACCCTTCAACTAGGCTTCCTCATGCCCTGACTCGAACAATGAGATTGCAGCGCACAATGAAAATGATTTTTACTCGATTCCCGTTATGAATCGGCGTCGTAGACCGGCATGTGAGGTGTGGAGATTTCCTACTGAGTTTTCGCCTTTAATGGGACCCGGTCTCTACTGAAGAGCCGGTAAATACCGTACAACTGTTCCATTCTTATTTTTAACCAATCATCAGCAGTTTAGAGGTTTGGCCGTGACAGGCTAATCAATTGTGTGATTGATCGGCACTTAGACAAGAGATAGCAGTGATCATTCTTCAACCACAGGCTTCATAGCGTCTGGTCACACGTATTGACTGGTTCCTCGACCAATGGATTATCGGATAGAGTTCTGCCTACTCTGAGCTGCCCACTGCTGGTGATTTTTAATAAGGATGAAACAACTGTACAGCGCTTCTCGACTCCTCAACGTAGACTGACTTCACTGACAGCACGAATTCTCGATTGTAATGCCACATTTTTTCACATAGCAGGTTTTATTGCAGTGAACCTCCGACAAATAAAAACCTTAGACAAATATGACTTATTTGTTAGAGTTGGAAACACAAAATGTCAGATGAGGTAATTTACAATTTTTACAATTTTGCAAAAACCTTTTTACTGTTCATATGGTCTGCTGATAGATTCGTTCGAGCCCCACAGAGAAAACTAATTAATCATCGCTGAGACCATCAGTTACATCACTTAGCATGCAAGGCCATTGCTACAGTGGTCTAGGAGTGCGAAATCCGGAACAACCAGCAGTAGGCAACAGTTGTGAGCTCAACCCCGAGCAAAAGCCGAATCAAGTACAGCCTCTTTCAGTGTGGCAGAAGAGAAATACTTAAGAAAGAGAATGTGAGTTCTAGCGAGGAGCTGTTTGCTGGGAAACACGAACGAAGTAGTTACAGGCTCTCAGAAAGCGAAGCAAAACCTTATTTGAGAAGTCCTGCAGAAATTTCCCGATGTTGTCTGAATATCAAGAATCAATCAGTAAGTACTGTAAAACGGTTCAACAACTTGCAAGTCAACCACCCATCAGATACAGGGAGGGTGGTTCAAACAGCTTCGACAATATGCTACTCGCACGCTATATCAGTAGTACACGCTGTCACGCTGGCAGTATCTAGAACCTCATGCTTCCTTCGAGTTGCACGGCATCCGTCGAACAAGAAGATGTCACAGATAGAGTAATACGTTTTACACTGCATTCTCCCATGCTACCTAAGTTGTATATTCGTGCATTAATTACCAGTGTATCAGTGCATACTACTCGTGAAACACATTGTTCAAGTGTCAAAGCGTCGCCCTACATTTGATGGAAGGTTTCTATAGAATTTATTCATTTTCTTCGCAATGTATGTTAGTTTTTGTTCATTATTCAAACAACGTCTAGGGATGTTGAACAGGACAGCTGAAGTTTCAAGACCTTTGCGCGAGGTGGGTTTTTACTTTCGTGTCTAATTTCCTGGTGCAGCTTTGTTCATGGTGGGCGACAAACAAATATGCACTCAGATTCTTTTCTTCTCAGCACTATGCATACAGTCATTGAACTGTGTTTTGTGTTTAAGACAAATTGGAGTGGATGGTGAGTGCGAGAGCAGCCTTCCCTATGGACATTAGTCGCGGTGGAACTGCAGTATGTGGAAATAAAAGGGCTTCGGCTTACGACCAATGAGCGTAGACGGAACAGTTTGGCTGTTAGACATGAATAGTACTAACTTTGTACCTCGTATGGAAAACGTAAGAATCAATTCTGGGGCTATGTGAAACTGCGAAAACATTGCACATATTGTGTGGGTGAGAATAATACGTCAGTACTTCTTTCCAAGTCTCAGACGTGATGTATAACTATTAACATAGCTCCTTTTGTGAGGTTCGTGAATTTTGGATGGAGCAGTCTCAAGTCAAGGAAACTGCAAAACTCATGTTACAAACCATAGAACACCAACGTTCAGTAAATGCTTTTTTGTGCTCAGAAAGATCTCGATTTTACGAAACCGTCTTCAGATGATGTAAAAAATGAGACAGTATACTATTTTCCTGAAAGAATGCAATACTCCACACTATTTGTTTTTCAGGAGAAGAGCTAGAAACAAGTTTGTTTATTTTACGAACTTCAGATGATGTAAAAAATGAGACAGTAAACTATTTTCCTGAAAGAATGCAATACTCCACACTATTTGTTTTTCAGGAGAAGAGCTAGAAACAAGTTTGTTTCCGATCTTGGGCGGTTCATTCCGTGGTAGACTTAAGAGTATCATACCAACCTACATTACGAAAATGCAAACCATACAGAAAATGTTGATAGATCTGGCAGACAGCAGTCTGGTAACAAGCAACCACACTCACTATTCAGGAGATATAATAAGAAAATATATATTTTATCGGATATTTCCTCCTGTGAGTGAAGCCAAGCTGGGAACTTTGCACTCGTGAGAGAGATAAGAGAACTTTGAACCCCCAACCTCCCGGTCAGTGGTTGAACACTTAGCCGTTCGGTCACAAACGTTTGGACAGCAGTGTGACTAGCTCGCACGCCGACAGGATGTGGCCACGCTCATCCTTCATCCATAAAAACTACATCACGTGATCACGTATTGAGTGGAACCTCAACTCGTCCTGTGAAACTCTACTCTCAGCTTCTGATAAATCTTCATTCGATGAGTCAGTCAATGCGTAGCCGCTTGACATGGTATCCATTAGGATGAGTGGTGCTGTGTCCCATCCATGTGCGAGATTATTGTACTCCTGATGAGCCGAAAGTCAGGTGTCAACTTTACTAGCTGGGAGGTCACGTTTTCGAAATTTCTTGGAGTTTCGTGAAATATCTCGATAAGTAGAAAACAGTCATGCAACGTTTTTCGCTTTGTAGCTCAGATTGAACTCAATTACCTTCTTCCTCTGAGCTACTCATTGACTGATGTTCGTGTGATAAAGTTTAAATTTTAAGCTGATATCTTGTCCTGAAAGTGAAGCCATTCTATACCGAGAAGCCGACATGTGAGGTACAGATTTTTGATCCGCATCGGCAGTTATCAACTTTAAGCATCTGATAAAAAGCCAGGAGGTCTCGAACTCAGACACGTAACCGTCCAATTACTAGTGTGATCAGCTAACACTTAAGGACAGAGTCCAGCTATAGTCAGCCTGAACGAATTAGCACGCGCGATGGTGTTTGAAATTTTTCGTGTTAGGGTCGAACTTTATGGGTGGATATGTAGATGCGTCTCTGTGAAAGGTCACAAAACGCTGAGAAAAGTAGAAAAACGGCTAGCTCACGACTTCTTCAGGAGGAACCAAAAACGTTTTAAGGATACTCCGGGCAATTCCACTTATATGAACAGAGAGGTTATTCCACGTTCATGTGACTATTTGGAGTTTCACCCTGACAGTCAACCCATGCAACCTGATTCACGTGTCCTACCTTTCTACCGTTCGTATCCCGGCTGTGGGATCCCACATTGAATTAGACCATAGATTTACACAGAAACAACGCACACTACTTGCAGTACATCATCGTGTGGTGATAATTACAAAATTGTCAAACATCGATGAGTAGAATGTCACAAAACTCAGCATGGTTTTGAGATCACCCGTCCTGTTGCATCAAAAACTACACAGGCACGAATATACTAAATTATTTTGCGATAGGATTGGACACAGTTGATGAGTATTAGTAAAGTTTGTTTGCGGCACTGACGATCGGATAAAATCATTACAAATGAAAAAAATCGCTCCTCAACCGTCCTCGAGACGGTGGGGACCTTATGTACCTATCGGGCTTTAGAAGAGATTGAAATTCCGCCGATCGAAGTCTTGCGTTCACTAGACCCACTGTCCCCGGTAAAAACCCTTCAAGACAGGTTTTGGTCGACTACGAGAAAAAGAATCAAAACATGACTCCTCATCGACTGACCCGAATTTGTTTGGGAATAAGACTGTCCCCCAAGCTGATTTTCGTTGTTGTCGGATAGAGGTCTCACTACCGTTAACATGAAGAGCAGGTACGCTAAAGATTTTGTTTGTGCTTTTTGGTGGTTGATCTGTTCCCCGAATTAGGCGGTTGGATTACAAAAGCTTCATCAGCAGTCGAGACGCCATCCACATCGGGGGTTTGAGTGAGTACCTTTCTTCTCTTGTACCCGCGTTATTTGTTTTTTTTACACATTATCTCATCGGCTAAAATGATTGGGTGCTCCTTAGGTGGCTTCTTAACTTGGTGGGTCAAAATAGAATGCAAGCTGCGTTGTGGTCTTACTTGTATCTGTTTGGTTCGTGTGCCTTCATAGAAGAGTTCTGTTCCTTCTTTGTAATTGTACCATTTACAGTAATATTTCACTTGTTCGGTTGATTTGGTAACCTGTCTAACTTCTTTGATCCGACTGCTCCGTTGGTTGTTGTTAGTCTGACTTCTTTTATGGTTCAGCACTTCACAACTGTCTAATTCTCATGTTCGTAGCGGCTGACGGTTTTCGTTAATGTAGATGTTCACCAGCCGATTTCCCTGTGGAGCACTAAGTCTGAGTAAACTCCCGCCTCGTTTTTATCAAACTTATATGACTGATTTAAGGTGATATTGTCGACAATCCAGGTTGAACTTTGTCTACATGATTTGTGTTATTGTCGTGGCTCCAACTACGATGTACCATAACAGGTTACTGGTAAAATGGCATCTGTTACGAAATCTATTCCATATTGATTTATTTTAATTATTGTGACCCAGTCCTCTTCAGGTACATACGTTCCTTTTTTGAGCATTTAGTTCTAGCCAGCGGAGAGCATTTGCGTCCTATGCGGATGCGAGAGCCCATGGGAATCTGTTTGAATAACCCTATTCAAATTCGAATTGTTTACTCGCGTTGGTAACCATTTTTGATCAGAAAAGGTGGTTATTTTGTATACTGATGCTTTTGCGAATCTGTTTTCATCAAGTCAAATGCATCCATCTATAAACTCTGAGCACTAGGTTTTTGGAAACAGTCCTTTGTTTCAACCAAAATTTCGGCTGGATTTCTGTGTGTAACCCATATTAGGCTTTATCATGCCACGGGACTTAGTAGCGTGGCAGACAGCGAGTGCCTAAAATTTTGGCACAGGAACAAACCTCAACTAGATCTCTATGTTTTCCTTCTACAGCCAAATGTAGTGGAGTTCTCCAGCGTTTGTCTTCCATGTCAACAGATGCTTTGAGGTCAATGAGTATGCGGCAAATTTCCAGCCGTCCGAGCTTTGCAGCCAGTAACAGTGGAGTAATTTCTTCTTTGTCCAAATGGTCAATCGTTGCTCCGCTGAAATGTGAAGGTTACGTTGTTTAGACTTGGTATTAGAGTGGTATTTTGGACGATTTCAGACAAGTACTACTCTAAAAGATGTCATCCTACAAACAAGAATAGGTTTTGATCGAAGTTCCAGTGAACCAAGATGGTCATTTACAATAGAGTTAGCAAAAATCCAAAGCAATCAATTCAAAAACCATGGCTGGAGGCAGACCAGAGGACTACACCTGGATGTTTGTCCATCCGAATGCTTGAACGGAGGCAGTCAAATTAGGGGGCTCCTTAGATGGATGCCTGAATGCCGTTTCCCAATTTCAATGTCATATTTGATGATGCTTACTGAATGTTACTAAACTAAGCCTTTAAGCCTTTTTAAACACCCCCAAAGAATAAACCGGTCTTGGTTGGTGGGACCGCTAACAAAAATGACGGGGTATGTTGAATATAATTCCCAGTTTGTATGCAACCAAGGATAGTAAACTCGTGTTCTCCACCGGATCGTTCTCTCAAGTAAACATGATCAGAGCACGTTCACTGAAGTGTCTGCATCAAATAACTTCCATCGATATTCATGATCATTCGCCGTTACATATGTCTAATAAAAGTAAATTGCCCGCAACTGTGTGCTCTCATTCTTTCCTGTTTGAATGGAGCAGCCCTATGAGTAGTCCGTAAAAAGGTGTTTATTTCAGGAGTGGCTTCTTGTGTTAGCCCACTGAAATATATTGTCCCTGATTATAGATCCGAGATCGTCTCAGCACTGATTGCACTGCCGGAATGAGACGTCAAGACTAGTTCCCGAAGTACTTTTTGATTGGGCTGGGTAAAGCTTGGTCGTTAAGACACGAACCTATTGGCCGGAAGGTTCGTGGTTCAAAACCAACCCCAGCATCTCCACTGGTCTTGTCCAGAATCGGGCAACCTAGCGGTATCTTAGCTCTCGTACTTCTTTTGAATGGCATGGAAGCTACGCACTGAGATGGTATTACGAGTGAAAGGATATTTTAATTTTAATTTTTTGAACAGGAAATGCACCCTTGAGTTGGTTTTCAGGCAAATTAAAATAAGCTAAAATGGTCACGACTGATTGTTTTTTGAAATTTATCCAGACAAGCTAATAAAGGAAATCTTAGCAATTGTTCCTTATTCCCTCATGAAAGGAGTGGTACCTTATAGAAGGCTTATTTATTGAGCCTTTATATGATGTAAACAGACCAACCGCTGAAGTGAGCTAATTGCTAAAATAGGAGTTTTAAAATCATTTATTGTAACGATGAGCAGTAACAGGTAACATATTATTTGATATCTTCTATTGATAAAACAAAAAAATGTGCATCGATTTTAAGACAGGGTTGGAAGCTAAGGGTTTACGTGTCTATGCTTAGATTCTAACCCCGGTCAGTGAAATGGCAATCTGCGATGCTAATCAGTGGGCTCTTCGGTTACAGTCTGACAGAATGTCTTTTCTCGGACGACCGAAGAAGTACCAGTTAACAGTTTCTCAATTACTGTTTTGTTTATCATATCTGTAGTCCGTTATTATGTTCTATGATATGAGTTTACCGTCTCACGACCTCTAAATAGCTCAGTGATTAGGACGCGGACTTATTGAGCAGAAGGCCCGTAGCTCAAACCCAACCTCGGCATCTTGACTGCTCTTTCTAGGCTTGGACAACCTAACTGTCTCACTCTTCGTATGTCTTTCATGTGGCATAATAGCCTAGTATCAAATGGGTGTCTCTCCTCATGTTCTTACCTCACTTTCAAGTAGGAGTTCTAGTTTGGAAGCACAAATTTCCTTCTGAGATGAACCCCTCTTTTGAACCAGTGATGCATTTTTTTTTACATATTTTCATTCTTTTCTTTTTTCTGAAATGCGGTTCCGGTTCAGACAGTCCCTTGATGTTTACGCAGAGTAGTGATTTCACAAGCTATTTCTGTGACCGCTCCAAGGTTCCCGCACCGAATAGGTGTTTCAGTTATTCGTGTTTTCACCCCGGTCATGCGGGATCAGTGTAAAACAGCTGGCTAACTTGTTCCCCGACTGTGCTGGACACATCCACTTTAGAATTATGCGAATAAGAGAGACAAATCAAACAGGATCATGACTTATTGGTCCCCAACGTGCGGTCGTTAATGTTGGAAGCGTATTCGATTATGCGATCAAGTGCGTTGGGTTTCTTTACGAAACCACTTCAGGAAAATGCCGCAGGCATACTACTTACCCTTAAGCAAAAAAAAAACGATTCTCACCAAAAATTTACACTTCAGTAAGTTTGGCTGCAAAGACTACTTTTGATGCAAGCTGATCAAATCGCTGCACCAAAATGTGTCCCAATATTTCCGATCGATTAATCATCATAATACCCAAACACTAGAGCGTGCCATCTTCGGACTTTATTAGAGATTCACCAAATCAAGTGGAGCTTCGTGGAATAAAGCATGAAAACTGACGTCCTAGCTTTGAAGCCCTTCATTTATTGAGGATAGTGAAACCTGTATGAATGCAGGTTATTCATACTACTGACCAACTTCTCGTGGCCAAATGGCCGAAAGCTTAAATGCCATTTAAAGTCTTGAGTGCAAACGCTACCCAAGATCGTACGGTTCACTTGCTGATGACTTACAACAAGAATGAAATAGCTGTATGGTGCTCCCGTGCATCACATTTGCGCCCACTTGCGGCAGAAAACCGCTTTGTATAAATATATTCTCCATACAACTTTATACTATTTAGTACGATCACTTTCGGCTCACCTGTGCAACAACACCTCCATCAGGTATGGATGATCACACTGAATGGCATCAAAAATTGGCGTTCTCCCCTCGTTATCGATGGCATTTACAGCTGATCCACGACCGAGCAACATCTCCGCAACTGGGATATTCCCAGAACGCGCAGCCAGGTGCAACACGGACTCTCCCTTGTTTGTTTGAATTGATAGATCCGCACCTGATGAAGTCAGAGTGATATGGACCGGTATTTTGCGATTACTACTTAAAAACTTGAGATAAAAACTGGAGTAGAAGTGCAAAAACGAACTAGTGGGTACAACTGATCCTCCACCAACCATTTTATTATACTTGTAACTCAGCAGAATCGGATTGGAGAAACCAGTCTTGGGACGGTGCGCTCCCCATGTTTAACCTTGTCTGAGCTACTGAATGTGGATGAGTATAGTTTTTTTCACTCACAGAATAATATTGATTTACCTCATTTAATGATCACCTGATTTTATGTAGATATACCAAATCCCCAATTCCACGGTCAGAAAAATCTAAAACGCATTATTTTCGTTTCTTATTTTTATAGGTATTGCGATTACTTGCAGAGGTTCTTTTGTAGTTTCTCAGGGAAAGGTTATCAGCCACGCCGTGGACAGTGTTTCTGGAAACAAAATATTGTCATCCCATTGCCTTCAAAAAGAAGAAAACGCTAGAAACTGAGAGGTCAATGTTGAAACTACTGCCCACTAGGACGTTCAGACTAGTTGTCATCATCATCAGCATCAAAAACAGCGACATTATTGTTCACGTCAATGTTCTACTGATCTGCGTAGATGATAGCCATTTCTACTAGGCGTGGGTCAGAATTCTCAGGGATCTTATCCTGGAAGGTGGACCCCACAAATAACACCTGAACTCTTCATAAGCTCTTTCACCTCCTTCTTCTGAGTCATACGTTTTCCACCTCACAGTTTGTGCCATTCCGGAGAGGCAAGGAGAATAACACTCGTTTTGATGGACGATGTTTCGGCATGCTTAGCGCACGACCGCAGCATGGCAGTTGATGCTGCTGAATGGTTTCCACGGTCACATGCAGTAGCTGAAAATGACCAGTAAAGCACATTACCCATGAATTAGTCACAATCTTGAGTGTTCCATTTCAAGGATTGCATTACCATCTTCATCGCTATCTTCTTCGATACCTTCTTCATTGTCCCCCATACCAAAACCGACGCTATCAAAATTATCGAATCATTTACTGTCAATCTTACAAACGTGTATCGTTTAGCCCAGTAGTAACCAGTTGTCGTATGCCTGAAATTTAAAGTTGGCCTATGAGCATACTGAACCCGAAGCAAGGCACAAACCAGACATCCAACCGGTCTTTCACAATTAGCTGGTTTTTTGCTGGATCAAAATGAAAAATCAGTGTTCAAAGAACATCTGAAGAACCTGCCCGGAAATCTTCAAAAAATGAATTCACTTTAGGGGAACTGAGTTTTGTTGGTCGTGAGTACGCCTGGAGCACATAATAATACATCTTGGGTTTACCGTTTCATCAGTAGATCGATTGAAAACAATAACGGCATCCTGTCACCTATTTTGCGCAAATAGCTTATGAAGAAAGCTGTATCAAAGCGGGCATCTGATAACACTGAATTCCACCGCTTTAAATGGTCGCAAACTCCTCTTTGAATCAGACCAGTTCGTTGGATCCATAACTGCTTATACGCAGGCTTATCTGCTAGCAAACCGATAAATATGCTTGAGTTGACTTCATACGTTTACTCATAGCTAAAACAAAGAAAATCGCCCTGTCTTTTGAGAAGGTATTGGTTACTCAATGGGTATCCAAGTTTTTTTAGTTTTAAACGATCTTTTGGCAAAAGACAGTGTCTAAAGAATACCATGTACGTGTTTTCCCCAAGGGGGACGGCAGACGTTCACAATAATATATGTTCCATTTGGTGTATCCTTGTGGACCGATGGCCGTACTTTGGGACAATATTGACAATCCAGTGATCTAGTCATCTGGCGTGCATACCAATAGCACTGTAAGCCACTGGCCGTAGGTTATGGCTGCGCCCGCAGGACAGAATGAAGTGCAAATGAAAAGCTCTGTGGTCAAGTTACTGTTACATTGCAAGTAGGTGGAGTATAAAGCTGTCGACTAACAAGGATAGCCTTTCAATATGATTTTGTCCGTCTAGCCATCAGTTATTACGAAACCATAAACATGGGATCCTTCATGTACCACATGAGCGAGAGTGTGTCCCGTGAGTTTAAACACATAACCGTATTGGAGCAGTATTCACTCCCTCCATATAGGTTGTGTTCCCGGTTAACGTGTAACAATGCAGCTGAAAACACAGGTTTTCGTGAAATTCAGATAGACGGCTCTCTGAAAAAACGACTGGTTGGTATTTTTAAAGCAAAAGGAGAAATAGTAACAGCGCTTTTGCCAAATTCAGCCTTCTTACATATATGATCCGAAGTCTAAAAATATATATGTCCTTCCTCAAAAATAAATATGTCATCACTCAATTTATTCTCCAAATAAAAAATGTGGCGGCCCGGTGCAGCACATTCAGCTGAAGAAGGAAAACATAAACGAAGCATTCAGCCGATCTTCAAGTGAGCACTCCATAAAGAGCGAATTGATATGCAAATGCGCGTTTTTTTCGAGTTTCGTGCCATTTGGATTTAAGGTTGACGGAAAGTCGGGTACTACTATCACCTCATAAACCCGATTGGGAAGGCCAAAACCGGTTTTCGCCAACTTCGTGAATAGTACGTTACGTGTGTCCTGAAACCCATTATTCTGACAGTGCTTACTTATCTCCAGACCGGTGAAAACAGATAACTTTACGGATAACCCGTTGCTTTTCCCGCTAATTCTGCTCGATAACCACACCTCAGTTAGGTAGATGCAGATTTAAAAGGCAGGGTATTACAGCATGCAAATGGAAAATCAAGAGCTTACCTAGTTGAATACAGATTTCTGTTATTGGTACGGACTTGCTGAGTATTGCCAAATGTACCGGGGTTTGTCCTTTGTTGTTTATTGAATTCAGCATTCCTAAAGTACACTCCGATCCGTGGGTCTTGCTCAAGTAAGTCTGCAGGAAGTCTAGTACGTGGACGTCACCGTTGTGGCAAGCATGATGAAGCTAAAGGCGAAAGATAGCAATTTAATGGGGCAAATTTCGCGGACTGATCTTCTAACCTAAGCCGCATGGGCCAAATCAGCCTGGCGACTTTTGAAGTCAAAATGAAAAATGATTACATTAGGGGGTGATTATTCATCATTGAGAAGGAGCCATAGGCATGTCATTCCCGGTACTGTACAGTCCTTTGAGATGAAACCGTGTATCTACTAGCCTCCTATAAGTAGGCCGGTTTCAAGTTAGTTAAAAGCTTGCTCGATCGGCAGAGTTCCATTGGAGCCCACAGAGGAAGACACAAGTATCGTCATACCATATCGTGAGCGTAGATATAAGTAGGCTGGTTTCAAGTTAGTTAAAAGCTTGCTCCATCGGCAGAGTTCCATTAGAGCCCACAGAGGAAGACAAAAGTATCGTCATACCATATCGTGAGCGTAGAATAATTATTAAGGTAAAAAGTTCATGAATGCATTTTCCAAGGGTTGGTAAAGAAGCTGACAAAAGTGGATAGTCGCCCATTCTGATTCTAGGTCAATTAAGAATATATCTCACACTTAATTGGATGGTAAGGTTTATAAGGAAAATATCGACCTAATCATTGGAAAAAATACTCAACAATATGTTGAATTAGTTTGCTTCTATCAGCAAGGGTGATCGAGTAAATTCTTGTGACGACCTGAAGACGGGTTAGTTAACTGGGCATTTCAAAGAAATTTTAGCGCAGTTTTTCAACCGCTAGTGGATAGATTTTTCAAATAACTCTCGTAACGTGTTATATATTGACAGTACTCCGCAAAATAATTTGCACTCAGTTTGAAGAAATTACTGTCGAGACCAATGGCTGACGTTCAAAGTTAGGGGACTACTCGTACCTGAGGAGTACCAGAAGAAATGTAAACTTCACTGGTTTGTTTCAGTACTACTTATTAGTAGCTTCCGTGGTCCAGGCGATATATGAATACGTGGAAGTTGTTTGGTGATTCTGAAATAGAAGGAACTGGGGAGGATTCCCTCATTCGAACTCTCGCCTATAATAGGCATGGCAAACATTTTGGATTGACTATTGGATACTCCAAGAAAGATAATCATCATGATTTTAGCATCAGTTATGATGTGAGTACTCAGTGAAGTTCCAAAAGTCTTCCCAGGCGGTTCACCAGCAAGTGAACACCCAGTAAATACTTTAGAAATGTATTGTTATATTGGCCCTTAGATTGGTGTGTTTAACTCCCGTCAATGTCCAAAAAATACTACTACACATGGTCTGAACTGAATCAGCCATCTGAGAGACGGTGTTGTTATTGACTCCTGTACAGTAAACAATACGTTAAAACTCCGAGAAATATGCTGACATCTCATCTGATTTTCTGATGTTTTTGAATACTTTTGCTCGTGTTCCATGCGAAAAGCCGTGAATTTCTTGCTTTAAGGAGGAATACCGGTTAGTTTCCTCTCACAACACATATATGTGCGACCAGTGTTCCCCTCTGCTAAGAGTCCATGAAAATGCCTACAAACCAAACAGTTGCCGGCTACAAGTTGGTTGTAACATCAAAACGCCAACGTCAAAGTTCGGTAATCCTTTTACATAACGGACTCACTGAGGGACAGTCGTGGTATGCCTTACTTAGTTGCGTGCAACGTCCGGAAACCAGCGACAAGAAAACAGAATTTAAAAAATCAACGCGGTTTCCCCTGTTTAGCCCATGCTGTTCAGACAAGCATGCCGATTCGCACAGCGTAGAAAGTTACTGTTCAGGATTGGCCATATCTTGTTTTTAAATTCAAAATCTTCAAACGCAAGACTCGCAGGTATGTTGATCATCATCATCATCATCATCATCATCATCATCATCGCTGCTGCCAATTTAGTATAACAGTCACAAGAATTTCAGCGCCTGTCCAAGTAAATTTCGTGAACACCCTCACCGAAAGCAACGGCTTGACTGGTCCTGTAAATGCCACGATCTTTCTCCACTTGTACGAGTAGAAAAGTTGTAACGCGTAGAAGAAGATCAGACTTGGCAGTCGTATGGTAATATTTAAGCGTGTATCTCCTTTTTTGAGCCCTTTCTGTGACGGAAAGCTTTAATTTCCCAAAGTATACAGGCAATAGACTCATCTGGAACAATAGTACGAAAGACATGAATAAACCTTTGACGTTGCATTAAAACACGTTTTTATGAAAAATACCTTGAAACAAAGTTGATCGGATGAGAATCATATTGTGAACAATTTTTGAACACAACTCACAATGTTACATCCATATCGATCAACAGTGAGCCCGTTGGCACCGGCGTTCAATAGCATTTGAACTGCATCCAAATGGTTGTCACGTACGGCCAGTAGCAGGGGAGTCATGTTTTCGTTGTCTTTACACTAGAATACAAATCAGATCGCACATTACATCCTTTGATCAATAATGTCTCTGGAGGTCGCGACTGCCAAAATGCGGGCGGGTGTACCTAAGGTAGTCTTTCTCAGAGAATGCATCCACTCCGCTGACTGCCTTAAGCCTCTTTGTTGAGTTTATCGTTCTTTTTGAGATGCAATTCACAAGTATCCAGCTCACTCAAGGTAGCAGCAGCCCATTTGTAAACTGTTGTTCGTACTGAGACAATATTTGTTTAAACGAATGAGGCTTTCTATTCCAGAACAGGTCACCTATCCACGATAAAACACTTGCGTAACAATACGGCTTGGCGCATTGTAAGTATGCGACAGCAGAGGTTACTTCCGTAACTGTCCAAGTAGTAAAGCGTGAAATGGTCCAGACATCAGCGACAGAACTGTAACAATACGGCTTAGCGCATTGCAAGGAATCTCGACTTTTACAAGTATGCGACAGCAGAGGTTACTTCTGTAACTGTCCAAGTAGTAAAGAGTGAAATGGTCCAGACATCAGCGACAGAACTTCGAGATGGAGTGAGATTTTTCACCTTGGAATTTATTTTTCGCAAACTTGCAACGAAGAAACTTGCGTGCCATTTTAACCAAAATGCACCAAGACCCACGTTTCACCTACAGCACCAGTTGTTTAAAATGGTCATAGCTCTGTTTGTTAGCCGAATGATTAGTCCGACTGTGATACTTCGTTAAAAACGCCTTGGACGTAATAATGGACACTTGGAGGGTGGTCGAAACGGCGGAGATGCTAGTGTGACGCATGTGAAAAAGATATATCGTCCTCTCAGGCATGATATACAAGAATATCTTACGAAGTTTGTCATCCGTTTACTCGGAGTTGAACCCTCGGACCATTAATAGCTACCCACCGATTCGTTTCAATAAACTTACATGTTACTCTAACATCGAAATTTTCCAGAAATACTGACTGCTTTCTTACAGAAGACGAAACCGGTTTCTGTTGTTTGTACCGAACTCCTTTTGACTGGATCACTTGTGGAAATTTTCATCACATAGCCAGAGGTCCGAAGGGAATTAGTGTCCGTAAAATACCATTTATTTTCACGGCACACTTCCCTCGTCTTCTGTCATCACTAAGTTTATCCACGAAAGTGCACCCCGAGTTGGACGGCAGTTCACGTGCATCAAAAGTTTTACACAAGTAAAAAGACCAGAAAACGCTAAGATTCTGGTAAACATGATTACTACCGCTGAAGTTTCTATTTTCTGTGACCTTCAGGCTGTCTCCAGTACCAGAGGGAATTACTCATACGTTGCTTAGACCTACAAAATCTTTTAACTGTTCAGCTAAGTGCTAAAAGTTTCTCACCCCCAATACTTAGTCATCTGGGGAAAAAGAACGGAATATAATAGCAGGGTGGAACTTTTTACCGGAATAACCAAATCGGAAGTCACTCGTCTCAGTAACACTGATATCACAGCAGTTTGCGTCGGTAAAATCCGTCGGGAACTGTGACGTACTTTGAAACGGCAACGAAGGGTCAAAATTGTTCTCCGAAAACCACGCTCCATTACGCTCCTTGACAACGCACTGATGAGATCACTTCAATTGGTGGTGAAGCGTTTGTAATCAAGTTGCAAAGCTCAGAGAAGAAATGAACCACTATCTACGGCACTTGAGCCAACAAATTCTCATCAGTTGGTGAACTGTAGGTTTGTCAAACTCGTCCACTGTACATGACGCTGATATCGCTGCCATGGATGGCGTATCTCCAGAAAGGTTTCTATGAACATGTGGCAAGTGAGGTCTATTGACCTCGTTGCTCAGAGAACCAGTGGCTAATTTCTTCACCGAAAGCCTTAGAATCGGAAACATTCGACAATTGAATAATAATTAAGGAAACGGTGGAGCCGAAAAAAGGCTCAGCATAAGTTAGGCAGATCTTCGTTCTCCTGAAGCGGCTTGAAAGCGTTCTCTTGGATCCGCCTTGGCATCAAGACTGGCAACAATTTGCATATGCTTACTTTCATTCCTTACTCCGTCATCTCAGCAGTAGATTCAAATCTAACGATCGGCTCCTGTTGTTCACGATTTCAGAGCGTTAGCGGCTCACTTTTAGCGAAGCCTTTTTTCAACGAAGAAGCTAAACGCAGTTTGCGCAGGATTACCTGAGAAACCTCATACAAGTCTCGAATACAAGCTAAGACACTGAGGACTTCCTGAGTGCTAGTTCTTCTCCATATACGCAGGGAGCAAGTCCATTCATCACATGCAGCACAAACACGTTTATAAGAGTGTGATTGGTTCGAGCTTTTTCGGTTACAAATGATACCGAATGAAGTTACAACCTGGTCGGGTGAATTTTTCTCACCATGGGTAACCAGAAATACCGAGACTGTCATCTCCGATGAATAATATAATGACATAGTCAATGAGCACGAATGCCTTGAGTGTCCTCCGCCTGAAATGGGGGACTAAATTTTAGGCAGTCCACTGTGGTTCCTTCAGGTATTTTGCTGTCATTCATTCAATCGGTGAAATAGTGTAAAATGGTCCTGAAGAAGCCTCTGTCCTGGAGCTAAACGATCCCCTTCAAATAGGTGCACGACGTCTTAGGCTGTTAAAGACACCTGCTGAAATCCCCGCAGATAGCAAATCGAAGATCACCTAAGGCGTTCTAATTCTGTTAGATGGTAATCAGTTTACCATTAAATAGTGTACGTCTTCTCTGAACAACTCTTTCTTGCCTATTAATTTAACTTCTCTCCAGTGCTAGTTTTGAAAGTATTTCCATGTCAAAACTATTCAACACAAGGTACCACTGATGTCAACAACAAAAACTAATATTTCTAATAAAGCTTCACCTAGATTATGAGTGTAGCTTAGTAAATTTCACGGAACTCACTCTTGAAAGTATGCAAAATGAACGGAGAATATCCCAACATGTCATGTAAACCTTAACTGGTCCTTTGGAAATAGATCATGTGGTGTGCAATGCTCTGTCCAAGTTTGGACATCATTCCTCGTTGATTGGATGCAAGTTAACCTAAAATAAACTGGCAAAGTTTTTCTGTTTTCCTTAGGGAGAGGATAATATACTGTTTGGGACTCATGAAATGCATAACACTGATGTATGCCAATTAGACTGGATAACCTGTACGTTACTTTTTGGAGTTCTTTTCATGGGATAAGTTCGAATTTGCGCTGCAAAACAAGAAGTAGCTGATTCTTACTATATTATACCGTGTACGTTACGTGTCAATGACTTCATTAGTTCAACGAACATAAATGATTATTTGCATCCTTTACAATGCAACCAAATGTTTGCGGCCAAATTAGGATCCAGCTCTCCAGATGGACCGAAACGGGAACATAAGTTATCGCGTCATTTGAATTCCACTACAAGTTAACCCACTTTGATGACAATGAGGTCCAAAAGCAATTTATCTCAAGACAGTTAAATGGTTTGAGTGGAAACTTATTGTTTCGAGAGTCCCTGGTTCGAAGCCGACCTCTAGCCATATCAACTGTTCCTGTCCACGGGTGGGAAACTTGATAGTACCCCAGCTCTCGTGCTTCCCTCTGTCGGCATGACAACCAATCATCGAAAGAGAGTTTAAAGTGAACGATTATTACTATTTATTACTTTAATGGTTTAACTTCTGTTAGACTAATTTTGCCCTCGCTCTCCTTCAGAAAAGCTGGTCAAGTGAAAAATGGAGACTTATACACAGAGCATCTTCACGCAAATTCGTATGTAGCAGCACCTTACAGAGTGTTTTTGAGTTCATTTCTGTAAATTAGTCAGGCCATCCAGAAGGTAGGTGAAAAAACTGAAACTTAGTCTCAGTGACTGAGTAGATCCCAACAGATAGATTGGCTACTTTATACAACCCCGTTACAATCACAATTCCTGAAAATATGGTTTAAATGTGGTACGAATGTGTTTCAGACATCAGTAGTTCACACTCTGCTTAAGCAGTTTCCGGATTTTTCACTCTAAAATGTTCCGTTTTATCCCATTACCGAAACAAAATATCTTCGCCCCTATTCAGTATCTTTTGCAGTTTCACTCGATATTCTGTCTTGTAAATGAATTCGACCTATGCAGATAAGCCAAGAAACACCACATGGATATTTCACTTTGGTCGGGGACAAGCAGAGGTGTGAACCTCGCGAATGTCTAGAAAGGAACCAGCTGAAGACTGAACCATCCTGGCACAAGCCGCAAATGATCCGTATGAACAGTGCCAGCCATCCTTCAATCTGAGAATTCACGCCGAGTTGTCACGTGTTGACTGACTCGTCAAGTGACGACGTCTTAGATGGAAGACCCACACAACTCGTGAATAACGCAACACCCTCTAAATACCAGTGCATCAAGCTGCCGAGCAGCTGCTGTTGGCCCAGTGGTTGCGTTTCCAACCACTAATATGGAGTTCACGGTTTCGCAGCTCTACAGTGCTTCACGACTTTTCGGCAGAGACCCCAGCGTCATTTACATGACGGGGTCCTTATTGCAAGGTCGAAATCCGCCCAGCTAGTCCCTCATGAGGTGACACATGAATGGCTTTTCAAATGCATGGAGTCAGGCAGTGCAGCTTTTCGGGATAATGAAAGCTAGCCAAAGGTGGTTCTACCAGCATTCCCGGGATAAACTTAGCAAAGACCCTCATTAGCTTGATTTTGTGGACATTAATTCCTGGAAGGACTTTGAAACATGAATGTTCGCCAATGAGAATCAATGTATGGGTCTATGATTAAGGCGCATATTAGGACTTCACTTTCCATGTTTAATGGAACTATGCATCCGGTCAGCTGATAACTTGCTAACTACCAGTTTCCAAACACTCCATGTGTTTACAGGCTCTTTCACCTTACTGAACTTCGCACTGTGGCTATCGATCAAAGGAGTCTATATGGCCTTTCTAAAAAAATAACCAGCCTACAGGTTTTACAGGTGCCAACAATTTCTATGCGTGGCTAATATCAATTTATGTCGACAACGTGACAGAATTCACTCCAGGCATTCAGTAATAACAAAACTGATAAAGTTGCACTGTGGCAAACACACGAGAGATTTGATTCGTCGAATCGCCTAGTTATTGACAGTGTGTGCGTATAATTCGAAAAAAATGGTCGGGCGATCGTCAACCATACCAGCTTTGAGCTAATCTGAGTCAATCCTTCACGGTGACGTCTATCAAACGAACAAAATACAAGACTTTTTTTCATAAAGGAAACTACTCACAAGGTTGCTGAAAACTCTTTGACAGCCCACGACCGGTTTCGCCCTTCTTGGGGCTCATCAGGTAGGCGCAGTCCCCGAGTTTCCGTCAACCTTATGATCTACTTGAACCCAAATTGCACTGTTTTTCGAGAAATACACTCATCTGCAAATCAATTTGGTTTTCACGGGAGACTCAATTGAATCTCTCGTTTATGATGTTCTCCAGCTGAATGTGCTGCACACAGGCCGCCTCATGATTCTCAAGACTTTCTGTGAAAGTACGCTGAGCACATCAATCAAGCACGCTGTTAGTATCAGGCTTTCTGTATCATGAATGACAGCAATCTGACCAGTTTCAGACACACAGCGACGATCTCACATGCCTCTGTCGACTAACTACGGATCAAACTGCAGACAACTGAGCCGTTGAAATCCGTTGATAACTGATGTTGCTTATTGCATGGCTTAAAAACATTTGTTCGCAAAACCCCTCCTATAAAGATGAAAACATCTCATTTGATAAAAACAAGTGAATCGAAAGCCCTCTGGCCTCATTCGAGACCATGGTTGATTTTTTCTAATGATTTCCCCATGAAGTTCATAAATATTAGCCTAATTGAGTGTCTTTTGAGAAATATAACCACTGTTTTGAAAGGATGATTTCCATCGGACTGAGGTCTGTATATTCTTGAAACAAGAAAGGGGATTGTATGAGGCCGTCATCAGTAAGTTCGTGCGACTTTAATGCAAAAGAGCACGAAAGCTACGCTGGAGATGCTGCCAGCGTTCAGGAAGTTCTTCAGAATTTCGAGCTTACCTAACTCGGCGTCTCATTCCTTGATGATAGTTGCACCCCATACGACAATTCACCCTTCGGTCACGGTCTTGGATAGTTTCAACCCTTCAGGTAATCTGTCTTTTATTATACTCAAAAAGGCCATGAAAAGTTCTTGCTCTGATAGTTCCCTACGCATTTTTCACTGACGCTTACATACCAATATGAAGTTTATTGTGGTTTGTCATGTATTTTGACTGGACTCTGATAAAAAATCTATATAAAATGCTCGAATAATGTTACGAGTGAGGCGCGCTTCGAATGAAATCCAGAGGTTGCTATACTCCCATGGTCCAAAGAATGTGTAATATGAACAGCGAAGTCACCAGGAACAAACACCTTAATCACGTACTAATACTTGGGTAATAATCAGATTTAGCATGTTTCAGCATAAAACATATTTTAAGTGCATATTCAATGGGTTCCGGTGCCAGTAGGAGATTAGTTAACCTGTGAATTCCTCTATGACTCTGGCACTTCCACAGTGACCACCCCTCTATATCTGGTAGGCACACGGATGAAGTTTCGCCTTGGTTGTTGCAGGTTTTTGCCCACGTTCCGTTTTCATGCGGTGTAGAAGAGCAAACATATGATCGGATCCCTAAAGGCTCAGGCACATAAGCGTGGTGAATCGGATAACTGATAGCTTGCCTAGTAATCTCAGACTGTCAAGTTCCACCAACCAGTTGACGCTTTCAATGATCTATCCACCTACTGAATAAGGCAGCCAATCAGCTGATTATTGGCGTTCTGCCCTAGTCAAGCAATTGACACGGCTTCCGATCCCGGCCAATCAGCTCCTGCGGCTGAGTTTTCCGGATTCCGACCACATCTCTACATTAAACAGCGAGTCAGATTTCATTCCTGTGGCTCAGTAATTGTCAGGTCTCCCAAAACGATCAGGCCAAACGTTTTGACCATTAACAGAAAATGGGGTGACTGGCTGAATCAATCAACAGCTGTTTAGAACAACAATTCACAACAGGACTACTTGATTAGTGTATAAAGATACCAACAGATCTACAGACAGTTACTGCATTAAGAAAAGTTCGTTGGTTACGGTTGTTTAGTGGTTCTACTGCGTACTCATAGCGTCGTTGTACTTCGCTGTTGTTTTTATAAGCTTCTCGCAGCAGAGGAATTTAGATTTTAGAGAGTGGTTTACTTAGAAGACAACTTTGCCCCAAAGTTTGACGCATATAAAGATAACTGCTCCCTAATAAACTTTTGCGGAGAATCCGTCCACATAAACAAGTAAAATGTAGTCCTATTTGGAAGGATTTCTGTTTTTTGTTTTGAAGAATAACTGTTAAAACGAACATTATTTGTCATGACAATGGCCATTGCAGAGAGGGAAATTCACAAACAGAAAGCATTAGATCTGAACTCCGGGTTGAATGGAAGCTTTCGTCCCATAAGTCACATCATTCTATGGCAATTGATTTCATATGCGAACAAAACTATAGACTGGCGATGAGGCCGTGTGAAAATAACCTGTGCTTGTGTGTCTAAGAGTTAGTCTAAACACAAATTCGTGATAGTCAAGCCTTCTGACTTAACTAGAAAAAAGACGCGAAAAGATATCGAATCGAATTTGGAATGTCAAATCAAACCGACAATGGACTCAGTTTAATCTGATATGCATGGTCTTGGAGATAAACAGTGCATCAAATTTAAACTACAAGAATTTTCATCCACATGGCTTGGTGACGTTCGCAAAATCAATACTAACCTCCAAGTATGCTCCCAACACAATCAGTTGTCTGGCTGCAGATAAATTATTGCGACTAGCCGCATAGTGGAGGGCAGTCATTCCATTCTGATCTGGTTTCTCAAGGTTCGCTCCACTTTGATACAAGTATTGTATGATTTCATCGAAAATCTCGTTGTTTGGTTCGTTGACATTGTAGGCGTTTTCCACCAGACGGATCATCGGCACAGATTTCTTTCGTGGCTTCAAAAGGTCAGGGAATATAGTTTTCCAATAGATCGTCATTTCAAGGTTATTTGGTAAGAAAGTACCCAGTTAAATTTCTATGCCAATTCCCAAAACGAAACAAACAAACAAACAAAATTCCTTCCATTTATACTGCAAACGTCTTCGCAATAAATGCACAGAAGTGTTGAATATCCAAAACATCTGTGTCCAAAAATGAATATTTCCAGGGTTTAATGGAATAGATTCGGTCGTCGACGTCTTAACGCACGAAGAAGATTCAAAGGAATGGGAGACTTTATAATCGTTTGTCCCACTCTCACAAACGCCGTGCACCTGTGGTTAACACTCTAAGATGAATTATCCTGATCGGAAATTAGTAAGGTTGACAATAAGTGCCCTTATCGTCAGCAGAGTATTCAACACATCTCAAACCAACCTCCCATACCAGATTTTGAAATCAGAAAATGTTCAGCAGGGAAAGACGGCAGTCTAATATTATTTATTATGACGCATTCTTCTACTGCTTCGAGATATCTCAGTATATTTTCACAAAACAAACTACTCACAATATTAGTGACTGGTTTCGACCTTATTGTGAAACATCACATAGGCGCAGCCGAAGAGTTTTCAGCATCGTTGTAAGTAGTTTCCTTTATGAAAACAAGTAGTATGTCTTTCCGCCGCTGGATCGTTCCGTTTGAACCATGTAGAGTATTGCAAAACTGAAAAACTTCTCACATGACTATTCGTTGATCCCAAAATGTATAGGAATAAATAAAGACGGTTCAGTCCTTCATCTGGAAGAGTCAGTCTTTGAAAACGAATCTGAATTATGAGATATTCGTAGCACGAATCCCCTCCTACTCTCAAGATAGCAATCGCCGTGTGTAGATTGCGCCAAAACGTGGTGCGTAACCGACCAACTGACATAAGGAGCACGTGACCAAGTCAGTTTATAGGGGAATGAAATACCGTCTGCATAAATGCGTGCGAATGAATGTGCTAACGTGTCTCCACTGACCTCTTGAATAGTGTCATATCTCGGATGGGTCCAACGCTCTTGGCAATATACTGCACCAGGTGCATTTCTGTTAAACATCAGATTGAGTACGGAACGTTAGAAGGCGCGGCAACAGTGGGTTTCATCTCGTGTGGCTTACCTGGTGGCTTACTTACATTATGGACCTATTTTACTCATCAGATAGGCATAGAAAGACAAATAAAGTGACCTTGGGTTAGCAGCTTTGCAAATGGCGATGAGTGATATGCGAGTTCCACTCAATCAGCCTCCGTAAAGACGGCACCTTCAGATATCCATCCACAGCTTTATCCATATTCTCGGTACTTATAGACCAGCTAGACAAATTTACTTTCAACTCTGATGTGAGGAGACTGGGTTATGCTCAGCTGAGATTTCGTCCAGTAGGTGGAGAGAACCTATGCTGAAAAGCGGAGAAGCACCGTACAGCTGTTTCATCTTTGCTGGAAATCACCAGTAGTGATAACCTCACGAGTTTCGTGGAGTTTTCAACCCGTAATCTGCCAGCCAGTAGTTCGAACACGTAACCTTCCGACTACGGGCAACTGATCAGCACTGTGACTGTCTTGCACCTGGACAGAATATAGTGCCAGTCATCAACCAAACACAGAAATTAAATCACGTGATCACATATTGACTGACTGGCTCCTCGAGTGTTGACTTCTCGGATAGGAGTTTCACTCATCCGGTGAAATTATTCTTCCTTCTACCTAGTTGGAGGTTGATGATATTGTGGGCGTATTTGGTTATTTAAACAGAGATTTCTCCAATCAAAGCCAAATGACAGTTTACTGTTAAAGTTCGGATCAACGCTGACCCAAGATTTTATATCGTGGTGAATTTTAACCCGTACTCTTCTGATCACTTTGGAGTTTGATATCCAAAGTACAAAGTTATATTCTAAACCACTAGTGTATTGCCATTGGCGTTAGGAACAGACAACCTTCTGTTCGTGCATGTTCAAGAAGTACCCCGATGTCTGAATAGTTTTTAGGAGTTTACTGACAAAACCCCGCCTTCATTGTACTACTTCTGCTCTGAGTTCAGAAAATCAACAACATGACAAAAGATTTTTCTCATCTGTTCTAGTGAATAAATAAGGAGTTTTCAGGCTAAGAATATAAGATATTGACATTTTGGTCGATGTTTTATCCTGTGGGTGGAATGAAAATGTGTTGAAATCTCAGAAAACGTTGAAAAGTAGATTCGCCCACCAATCTTAACTAACTAAATATGTTTCACCAGGATACCCCATGTTGCAGTTGGTATATTACTTGAGGTAAAGCGATTCGTTATACAGACGCAACGCACTATTCATAAGGTTGCCGAAAACACTTGGACAGCCCACCTTCGGTTACGCCCTTCTTGATGCCCATCAGGAAGGCGCAGTCCCCGATTTTCCGTCAACTTTGTGTTCTAACAGCTGGTAACCATTCTCAAACCGTATCAGACCTATCTAATTAAATTCTGCCTAAATGCAAGCGAATCACTGCCACTCGTCGGCCAGTGGTCACGGAAGATCGCGTCTTCAAGTCGTCTTTGCAAGCTGTACAGTGTCTCTCACTTCTTTGGCCTAGTTCCACTTCACTCGCTGGGTAAAAGCTCCGCCAAGAATATTCTTCGGTCATTCTTTGCTTCAGCAAAGAGGCTGACTCCACTGAATCCAGCATTTTCTGGTGAAAATTCCGGTTTCCTATATTGACGTGCTTGGATTCAGTCTTGGACTCGCCTCCAAACCATCCGGCAGCTGTGATACAATTAGGTATGAGGAAACAGCCTATTCATGTGTCATTCAATATCGCTTTTCTCCCTGGAGCCATTGCTTGCTTCAACGGTTACAGTACCTAATTTAGTGTGTATGAATCTGCTGACATCTTTATATGACATGTCAAACTGTACTCGAAATCTGCGTTTTGTTCACTCGTAACTCCGCCTGTGAACGCTGGTCACAGTGTGCGGTCGCTCAAGAATTTAAACTTACGGATTTTGAGGTAGCTGGTGAAATGCCGCATTGTGACAATTAAGTGTGAAATACAAACGTAGGTTCATAAAGTTAAATCGTTCTTCTCCCGCTACGCCTTATTTAGTAGTGAGTTGTGTACTATCTAAATTATCCAGGTTCCAATGACTTTCACATGCAAAAACTGGAATTGCCTTATAGGCGTTCTTGGCCTTTTAGATGTTTTAAATAATCCGAGCATTTGGTTCAGGTTGTAACAGTTACAGTGAGCTTAGTAGATAGGCGATTGAGACAAAAAACAGTACCTGAAAAATCTATTAGAAAAAACCGACTAGAGTGTCCATATCAGTAAGCCGTTTATCCAAACAATCAAGGACAGGTAGCTGACTCTGACTTACCTGGTCTTTAGGAAGGATCTTTTCGTATTTTGCTGCAAAATGTAACGGAGTCAGACCATCTTTGGCTTTCAAATTGACATCTGTCAGAGGGAAACAAAAGTGGTGGATAGGTTGTAGTTAGCTTCAGAATTACAACCGGAGTTTTTGAAAGGCTCACCTAAAATCAACGCTAGTACTAGGCCCCCAGTGAGGCTCATAAGTCACACTGATAAATCACAATCCACTTGCCAATAACCTCTGAATAGCCTTAAAAGTAGTTCTTGAATAATATACCATTTAGGCACCCCTTTTAGGCGTCCATCATCTTCCAGCTGACTACCTTCCGTCTTTCTGGCTGAAACGATTCAACTTCTAGTAATCAGAGGTGCATTTCGGCAATCCTTGATTTTATGGATTGTTGCTGAGAAATGCTTGAGCGGGCGAAGTTTTGATCATTTGTGATAGCTTGGGTTCCGACTACGTCGGTGTGTTCAACATCATTAGAAGGTGAAACAGTTGATTAAAAACGATTCAAAGTCTTCCTGAATTGCGGAAAATTGCCTGAAAATGAGACATCCTCTCACTAAGTGTATGTCACCAACGCAGGGTTGTATGGTGAACGGCAGAGTAACAGGAGGCTAATACTGCGTTCCTCTGATGCCGTTAAACAAACAGCGCCAGAAAAGCCTTGAATACTGCAGAAATACTTTAACATTTATTCAAAACCATTTCCACTACTTTATGTTGCTGATCAGGAGTTGACTCTTGATTACGACTGGCCGTTTGAATAGACGATCCATTTGGTTGGCTCAGCGCACTACAAAATAACGGCGAAAAGCTAATCTACTCAGTGCTGACGACGTCACCTAAGTTCATTACGCAACATTTTCAATCAGGTCGTCCATCTCAGCGAAAGAAGTAATCGATGACAGGGACTGTGACAAGTTATACAGTGTTGCGGAAGCCCGCGGGTCCTCTCAGTCAAGTTTGCACATAGCATAATGGACAATAAAGTCCATGTGCTTGATATTAGATGCTTCGTTTGAAGCTGGACAACATAAACCGATCAACAGTGTTGAGAGCTTCCCAGCAGTAGTAACATTTCATTTGTTGCAATATCACGATCGATAAAGTGCCTACTAATCAACCTGAATCCATCAGATGGAACCACTTAAAAACCTTCAGTTGCCCTATTTAGGAGTTGTCCATAAACCTCACAACAAAAGCTAGGGCATCTGCTTTTGCACCAAATATTTACTACCACCAAAAATCCAGATAACACGTGGTCAGCTATTCGGACATGAAATGTCAGACGCAAGGTATGTGCTATCACTGATTTGATTCACTTTTTGCTGAGAAATTGAATGTAGGCCTGACAACCTCATTTTCTGATGGACTCCCACTGACGCTTTGTTGTGCATTTATCGAGTACTTGTCAGCTTGTACAGCAGGAACCTAATGCATTCCGCTTTATTGCATGTCACATAAGTCTCAACCGGGGGATGTTTGGGACTACCAGATGATCGGCAAAGAAGACAAGACGCCGACTAGCTCTGACTGACTTTGGCCAATTGGTCATTGTTCTCATCTAGCTAGTATCACTTTTTTAGGTTCAAACAGCATAGACTCATCGTTCGTTCACCATTACTAAATGACTTGTTTTGTAAATGGACGGTGCTTGTTGTTTGGCGCGAAACAGTTCTTACTGAGGCTGCGGTTACGAGTGTGTTCACAAAAAGCACAAGCTGGTCAAATTACGAAACGACGGGGAATGAAAGAGGACAAACCCAAACTGAACCGGCATGAGTGAGCTGCGAGGCTATACGCAGGACTGCATAGAATCTATTGATCGATATCAACGAAGCTGCGAGGCTATACGCAGGACTGTATAGAATCTATTGATCGATATCAACGAAGCAATCACATCATTGAAGGCATGACACCTACAGTTGAAACGTTATTTCATGAACTGTCTTTGCGGTTTACACAATACTGTGTACACTTGAGGGATTGAATATTCAGATTTGACAATTAATTCATAACCAGACGCGAGAACTCACTACGTAAACAGAAAGCATTGTGAGTTCCTTCTTCCTAATCCCCGGACTTCGGTTTTGTCGCATAAAGGTATTCCTCAAGCCAATGAAATTCCAGTTACCCCCTGAATACTATTCTGTTAGACGCGATAGAATAGCGAGCAGGCTAGGGGGATGAAACGTCGTTAACTTCCAAATTCTTATGGAGGCTGATTCAAAGCATGAACCAAAGAGCTCATCAACTGCTTGAGATGTGACCCTGAAAATCTCTTTCAAGGGGGTCACACCATGGGTTGGTCTTGAAAATTTCACTTGCCTCCTGTCCTACATGTTCCAATGATTTAGGCCGCTTGGCCGGAGTTTGTTCTTTCAATTCAGTCCATATTGAAGGGTGTGTTTCCACGGTCGACGAAATGCATGGCCATGCATTTGTCCTTTTGTCAGTTACTCCTACACTAGTGACCTCAAGCTTCTCGGATGTATTTACCGTTTTTTGCTTATTACAGTTATCTGCACGTAAAACTGAGATCCACTGAATTGAAACATTCAAACATTTTGGAGTGGCATTAAAATGGACACAAAAAAGTACTTACTTGTAATAGGCAAGCATCTTGTCTCAGTTGGTGCATCACACACGGTCGTTCAGCTCGATTCGGGAATTCTTCAACTCCCACTCATGATACTGAATGCGGAGCTTTAGACCATATACGCACAGATGGCAGCTGACATTTCAGACCACTTGCGTTCGTTTTCTGGAGGTAATTACGCTGAACCAGCCAACTGCATTAACACCAAGCAACAGTAGCAGCGACTGCTCGTCTTATGACGATGGTGCCGGAAATAGATAGCTCGGGTGCGCCAATTGACCGTTCGCCGAGAGTAATATTTCGATTGTAAACTTTTCTTCTATAGCCGAGGCGACCTCGTCAGTGCAGGGAAGGGTGGGCAGTTTCCGCTTATACAACAAGCAACCATAGTGTTTCCAAAAGATATCTAATATCTCTAGCCTGTTTGGCTGGTTGCGTAATCCGTTTGCATTGTGGTCTGATTCACTTGCATCCGGTTGGTTTGTTGAACGATTTCAAATTGACGGTCCAGTCCTTTCCCGTGATTGTCCTTTTCCAACCCAGCTTTATGGTCTGTTTTTTCTACTCAGTAGGCCGGTTGGATAAAATTTGTTTTTATTAGTTTCTTCTCTGCACTTCATTGGTTCGTTAGTTATTGGTTATTGATTTCACACGAGAACTGGAGTACTGTCTGTGCTGATTCATGTAAAAGTAACGTTATAATGATGGCGCTAAATAAACCACCATTTTCGGCAAATCAGGCTTTAGGCCCATTCGGGTTTGTTCTGTACCGTGTGCCCGGTCAGTAGCTAAGTAGTTGATTTCTTCTAGCGGGGTGTCAGTAGTGCACAAAATGTTCATTCATTCTCAGTCAGTGGTTTGTCCGTTTAAATTAGAGGGGAATTACAGAGGTTAGGATGTGGCACCATTTGTACAGCTATTTTAATAAATGAGTACCTCTCGTTGATAGTACATCCACAAAGACGGACCTATTGTCAAATCCATAACTGTGTACAGAACTAGCAATGCTGTGGAATGTAGGTAGCTCGGGTGCGCTGTTTGGTTGTTGGTCTGTTCGCCGAGCTTGGCAGTTGGATTGCAAACGTTTCATCACCAATCGAGGTGACATCGTCAGTGCAGGGTTGAGTGGGTGAATGCCTCTTCTTCTGCCTGTGATTATATAGCTTCTAAACAGTATCTGGTAGTTCTGGAAACGGTCGTCGTGTGGTTTGATTGGTCCCCTTTGAATCTGACGTGGTCTCAAACTCCTGTGTCTGGTTGGTTCGTTGGATGCATTCAATTCGGCAGTTCTGTATGTGGTTCTTCTGCTGTGATGCCGAATGGCTTCCACCCGATGATTGTTCAGTAAGTTGTCTGCAACTCATTCAGCCTTGATCTTCTTTAGAGTGGGACGATTCCGGTACGTTTCACGTTTCTCTCGAGTTTCGCGATGAAGGCGCCCGCTGGTGTCAGCTCAAGGGGATATTCGATCATCGTCACAATAACCTGCGCGTATATGTGACCTTGGAAGTAAAACTTGACTTTTCCTGTTATGACCATGCTTTCGAGGTTGACTAGAACGCTTTGAGCGATTTTGTTCCATATGGGGCCAGTCTAGCGCACTTAGTCCAGTCAGTCTTGTTAAACTAATTGTTCAACCGAAAGAAAGTTTTACACGATTGAAGAATGAATCAGTGTCAGTGGACATTTTCCTGAATGCCCAAGTTTCACAGTGAAGTAAACTGTCGAAGAAACATAACGTGTGAGGGAATAAAGTTGCCTTTGTCTCTTATGTTTCATACATAGAGATGGGCTTTTAATTGTCTCCATAAGTGCTACGGTTGATGAGTGAAGCAGGCCTTAGATGTTAGGGAGTACTGTAGTTTTCATTCCCCGTCACAAAGATACTGAACCTTACTGTAGTGTGATGGCTCGCGCACCTTAGCAACTCACTGAGCTACACTAGGAGTGTCCCCGTAACACTCACAGAGTCTCCCATAACGGGTTGGTCAATGATTAGAGGACTGACAAACAGTCTCCCGGTCCTTCAGGTTAGGGGGTTGTAATATGTGGAAATGGTAATCCATTTGCATTTCTTGCAAAACACCAGCTTTCGGCTTTTGAGCCAAAAGCTTTGGCTGAGGGCCATGATCGTCATCCTATCTAGGTGTGGGCATCCTGACAGTATCCCAGGCCACGTACAATCATGATACCTACGTTAGGACAGCGAAGCATCGGTGCTGAACACTGATCTCATGCAGTCGATGAAGATGATGATGAGTCTCCATTTCGGGAAATCAAATGAAATACACCCTTTAAAATATCACGCAATTCAGTTTGCCGATCTCTAATCGGCTTAATAAAATAAAAATTCGGGGAAGTATCGGTTGGTAATAAGTGTTACATTTCCAGAAACCATTTTTGTCTTGAACAGTGTACACCACATCACATTTAAGCATAGCAAACTGAACACATCCGACCATGCCTCAACTGACCTGCTTTGGCGAATTCAATTAATGTTTTGACACAATCCAAATCATGTCTACGGGCTGCTTGGTGAAGACAAGAAAGTTCTGCATCCGCCACAGTGTTAATCAACACGCGTGTCTCATCGAGACGTTCCCAAATAAGTCGCTTGAGTCTCTCGACCAAGCCTTGTCGGACGAGCTGGAAATTATCAAACTTGGAACAGGCGGAAATAAGACCACTTACGTTACACATATCGTGCAACAGGTCCTCATTATCTTCGGCCAGGTTTTTAACTGGTGATCTTGATTTCGTGCCGAAAACATTGGGAGTTTCAGCTTCCATCTGATGGGCTGAAAATGGCAAACAAAATTGTCTTTAAGAGTAATAAAATAGACACTACGGAGAACACTAATACCGTGGAATTCAAGTGTTCGCTCACCAGTGCCATCTTTCTGCTTGAGTGAGCGGAGTTGAAAACATGTCTACAACCGTGTAGTGTTTCTCTCTCTAATCACTACTTGGCGAGCAATTTATGGGGTGCTTCTCTTGCTATCACTGCCGGTGATGATGATGCGATGTTTTTCGGTTTACTGCTTATTGTTTGTGAAAAGGACCGAGTTATTTTCTTGCAATGAATACTATAGATTGCGTTTCCTCGTATAAAACAACCCTTTTAATGAATCGTCCTCAGCCTAACCGCACATTTTCTTCAAATATCATTGAACCATTTCAGAAGAAGCTCAGAGGCCTCTTTGATCGAAGGTTGAAGAAATAAAATTGCCTCAGTGATTTCAGCAGCCACTCGTGTAAAGTGCGGTTCTCGGTGAGATTTTCACAAATGTTCCAAGTGTCGTAGTGATTTATAATATACTGTCATATTCGGTTGAGATTTCATCCTGTGAGATAAGCCATTTTGTGCTGGAAAGCTGAGAATCAATGTGCAGCTGTTTCATCCTTGGTGAAAATCATCAGCAGTTTGCAGCTCAGGAAACCCAGAGAGTTTCGAGCCCGTATCATTACTGACAGTGGTTGAACACTAAACCGTTCAGTCAAGAGGGGCTAATCAGCGTGTGACTCGCCCTCACCAAGATAGAACCGTAAGGAAAACCACATCACGTAGTCACATATTGGCTGACTTCATAAAAAGTTTGCGCACCTTAGCAACTCACTGAGCTACACTAGGAGTGTCCCCGTAACACTCACAGAGTCTCCCATAACGGGTTGGTCAATGATTAGAGGACTGACAAACAGTCTCCCGGTCCTTCAGGTTAGGGGGTTGTAATATGTGGAAATGGTAATCCATTTGCATTTCTTGCAAAACACCAGCTTTCGGCTTTTGAGCCAAAAGCTTTGGCTGAGGGCCATGATCGTCATCCTATCTAGGTGTGGGCATCCTGACAGTATCCCAGGCCACGTACAATCATGATACCTACGTTAGGACAGCGAAGCATCGGTGCTGAACACTGATCTCATGCAGTCGGTGAAGATGATGATGAGTCTCCATTTCGGGAAATCAAATGAAATACACCCTTTAAAATCTCACGCAATTCAGTTTGCCGATCTCTAATCGGCTTAATAAAATAAAAATTCGGGGAAGTATCGGGTGGTAATAAGTGTTACATTTCCAGAAACCATTTTTGTCTTGAACAGTGTACACCACATCACATTTAAGCATAGCAAACTGAACACATCCGACCATGCCTCAACTGACCTGCTTTGGCGAATTCAATTAATGTTTTGACACAATCCAAATCATGTCTACGGGCTGCTTGGTGAAGACAAGAAAGTTCTGCATCCGCCACAGTGTTAATCAACACGCGTGTCTCATCGAGACGTTCCCAAATAAGTCGCTTGAGTCTCTCGACCAAGCCTTGTCGGACGAGCTGGAAATTATCAAACTTGGAACAGGCGGAAATAAGACCACTTACGTTACACATATCGTGCAACAGGTCCTCATTATCTTCGGCCAGGTTTTTAACTGGTGATCTTGATTTCGTGCCGAAAACATTGGGAGTTTCAGCTTCCATCTGATGGGCTGAAAATGGCAAACAAAATTGTCTTTAAGAGTAATAAAATAGACACTACGGAGAACACTAATACCGTGGAATTCAAGTGTTCGCTCACCAGTGCCATCATTCTGCTTGAGTGAGCGGAGTTGAAAACATGTCTACAACCGTGTAGTGTTTCTCTCTCTAATCACTACTTGGCGAGCAATTTATGGGGTGCTTCTCTTGCTATCACTGCCGGTGATGATGATGCGATGTTTTTCGGTTTACTGCTTATTGTTTGTGAAAAGGACCGAGTTATTTTCTTGCAATGAATACTATAGATTGCGTTTCCTCGTATAAAACAACCCTTTTAATGAATCGTCCTCAGCCTAACCGCACATTTTCTTCAAATATCATTGAACCATTTCAGAAGAAGCTCAGAGGCCTCTTTGATCGAAGGTTGAAGAAATAAAATTGCCTCAGTGATTTCAGCAGCCACTCGTGTAAAGTGCGGTTCTCGGTGAGATTTTCACAAATGTTCCAAGTGTCGTAGTGATTTATAATATACTGTCATATTCGGTTGAGATTTCATCCTGTTGGATAAGCCATTTTGTGCTGAAAAGCTGAGAACCAATGTGCAACTGTTTCATCCTTGGTGGAAATCATCAGCAGTTTGCAGCTCAGGAAACTCAGAGTTTCGAGCCCATATCATTACTGACAGTGGTTGAACACTAAACCGTTCAGTCAAGAGGGGCTAATCAGCGTGTGACTCGCCCTCACCAAGATAGAACCGTAAGGAAAACCACATCACGTAGTCACATATTGGCTGACTTCATAAAAAGTTTTACCATCCTGTGAAAGTGTTTTTGGAAGGTCAGCTTTGATATGTTGCCCCATTTGCAGCACTCAAACAGTTCGATACACCTGAACATCTGTCATCCTGGTACATAGAGGGATTTCGTAATGGTCAACCTGGTCATCTGAGGTAATACGATCGGGGATAAAAGCAACGGAGGCCGCAAGATGATGAGCCAGTCAAAGCCATGCCACGTATCATGAGCCGTGTGGTTGAATTTTGGCTGTCATTCACACTGCTGATTAATCACTTGCCTCCAAAAGATAATGTCCAGCTGGATTTCGCTTGACTTGATATCTAAATGCTAACTAGAGGGAAACTACTGAGAATCTGAATTTTCGGGTTCAAGAATTCTGGTCACAAATCACTTGAGCTTTCTGACTTCCCACCGCCACTTGTGCATTGTCTAAAACTTCTGGCCAGTTATTCTGGTGGAGTGCTAATAACATGCTCATTTCGCAAGTCAAACGCCCGAAGTTTAAATCCTGTGGCGGCAGAGGTATGCAGTGGTGATGTGCAGAGCTTCAGTCCTATAGTGTGCCGTCACCAGGATAACTGTGCCAGGACAGAAGGACGAGTTTTTAATCGAAGGTGATGTGGAGGTAAGAGTGGAACATGTGGAACATGTTTCCTCAGGTACTTAGTACTGTCGTCTGTTTGAACCAAGCCCGAAGAAGCAAGCACAAGAGAGACTTGATGGTTTAGCCGTTCCCAGGCTGTCGTCCAGCTGAATTCGACGTATAAAACCGTGAAGGGAGTTGCAACGTATGGTCTGTTCCCCCGAGAGAGATGGGAAACTTCATCGTCGCAGTGAAAACGGCTAACTTCTGGACTTATACCTGTAAATAATACCTGTTACTACTACTGAATAAAACTGGCTTATTTCAGGACCCTCCACTTTTATTCAACCATGTAATGCAAGAGGTTCCTTGTGAATAGCCAAGAGATATTGTTTCGGCCAAACCGGGATAAATTTCAGAATAAAATAGAAACGCCATCAAGCTACAAAAAGCACCTGGAAAAGTTTTAGCAACTTAGTGACACACGGGACTCTATCTGAATTCCGCAAGTCAGTAAAACATGATGCGCGTCAACTTTTCTTTTCTTGGTAAATACTGACTGTCTCTGGTTTGGTGATCTCATGTTGTGATTCCACTGGTAACATTCCTACCTAAGTTTGTTTCCTCAGTGTGCACATGATGGTATCTGGTTACACATTTAACTTGTGTAGGTGTAGAGCAAACAATAACTCAATGGTGACCAGTCTTGCAGTTTAACCAGGGTGTGCAATTCGACAGATGCATATCGATTTGGTTTTTACTCACCTGAGACCAAAGTGAATCTTGCGTTTATGATGCTCCCCAACTGAATGTGTTGCACAAAAGCCGCCTCATGTTTCAGTGGGTGCATTATTCAAAGTGTCAAGATTTAATTTTACAAAGAAAACTACTTATACGGTTTTCGAAAACTCTTAACCAGTCTGCTCTCTGTTTTGCCCTTCTCGGAACCCATTGGGTAGGCTCATCATAGGAATTTTTGTCAACCTTAGGTTCCACTTGAACTTAAATTGCACGACCATATTTATAAACGTATCAATATTACTTTCAAAAGAGACTCGTCTGAAACCCAAGAAAGATGAAAGCGGTCGTAGGCAATCGAAGAGCTTTCAGCAACCTTCAGAGTAGTTTGCTTTTTAGGTATGAGATAACTGTGCCTACTGGACGGCAAGCCGATATCCAGTGGAGCTAAAAGTTAATAAGAACGTTTTCATGTGTGTGCTGCTCTGAGGCAGAGTGCAGGTTGATACGCCGCTGAGTCAAATTTAGTGCAACAAGGCAACTCCCCGACAAAGTTACCTAACTTTTAGTGTGATATGTTTTAAAAAACATGTTTCAAGAAAAAGTTGGCGAAAATTCGCAAGATTCAAGCTATGAAGAAAATGCAACTGATCAGAGACTTTACTCTTACGTCAGCCTCTTACATCAATAAATATGGCGAGTCCACACCAGAAGGGGCGAACCACTCTACCAGAGTTTTGCTATTATCCATATCCAATGGCCATGCCGGGTTTTGAACTCCGGATATTTGATATTCTCGATCATCACGCACTTGTGGCATCCTAATTGTCACTTCTAAACAGACAAATATGTTCACACTTGAGCAGTGTGGTAGGTTGGTACAAATTACCGCCTTCATTGACAGCTAACCTCGGGGTCCATGTTTTCTCCATATGCTGTTGTCAGCACTCCATTCTCTGTATGATCGAGTGTTTTTATGCCATACGAATTCTAGAGTTCACATGATTACCTTGCCTGTCAGAAGTCCACACATAGTGTCTCCACAATAGTTCATTTTATTTTTTAGGATGTAAAGTAGTTCCCTCTCTTGATCTCAGCAGAAATAGTTAACAGAGCCGCATTTATTGCCTTTCCAGTATGCGTGTTATATCACACCATATTATCGGAAATCTGGTGCTGTTGTAACCTTTAATAATACAGAAATCAGTTTTGTTAGCGGTGAATCTCGTGCCTCGGGAAAGTGGTTAAGCATCAGCAACTAGAATGTATCCAATCCATGTGTTTTGCAAAATTATAGATTTATAAGAAACTTCAGCGGCTCTAGTAGTTCGTAACCCAGTTCTTTTACTGTTCAGATGACGCAGAGTAACAGACAAATGGCTCGGAAAAAAACTGGACTGGGAACGCTAACACAATAAGGTCCCATGGAAACGATACGGAGGTGGTCTAGTTCAGGTTCAGATTACTGAAAAATACTATTTACCCTGTATTCATAATTCCAGTGCAAAGTGACCACTATTTGAGCTGCACTGGCATCGACGTTTGACTTTATAGGTTACAAGTGTTTACTTTCAAATTTAGATGTTCTATCTCTTTCAAATAATTTTGTAACTCATTTTGAACGCACTGGCTAACGATTGTTGGAGAGTATCCCTTGGCCGTCGACTGCTTAAGGCTTTCGGCTTTAAAGAGGCAAAAAACAATATGGTTGTGTGACAGTGTAAAACTTTTCTCTAAGAGGGTTTCTTGACGTGGCTTTGGTGTACCCAAGACAGGATATTGCAATCCAGATATGTTTTTCCGATGTTTTAAATTATCTGTGCAAACGCATAGGCATGGGCACGCGCCCATTCCGTCGCTAGCCAGTACATGCATTCTTGCTGAAGATGACGCCGCAATCCATAAGCTAGTAGGTGCCATATGAAGAACAGTTACCAATTTATGCATTTCACCAACAGTCAAGCGCAAATGGTATGCCGTATCACCATAACATATCAGCATTTTCCACAGTGGCCTGAAATCTACTAAGAATGTAGGTATAATGGTTTCTGTAGATACTCTTACTTCTTCTGGCTGATTATGAGTTGGATTTAGTTACATTCTTGTCGGATAGCGTCAACATGCAGTTGTATTTAAGCTAATTATGCAGCCACGACGAATAAATGTAGTATCTTTTTGCCGCTGACAAACAAAATACATGATGACTGGTGGACGAATTGATGTCCATAAAAGATATTACTGACACTGGTAGGATGCCGCCTCTTACCGCAATTACTGGTAGCTTAGCATCACCTATCCTTCAAAATCCTACCATGAAATGATTAAAATTGCGCTCATAGTGTGCAGTCACGTGCTATACTGAAAACAATGCAAATAACATAAAGTTGGCTATCTGTGACCAGAACTTGCCTGCGTTCTTCACAACCAATCACAATATTTGTCTCCCAGAGCCAAGATATGACAAAATCGTACTGGAACTCAACGTGAAAATCTTCTTTTAACCTGAAACCTAGCAGCAAGCTCTAGACTCCCTTCTTCAAAATTCTTAAGACCATCGGTGTGCGACTTTCCGGATTACAATATAATGCATTTCATCAAGCTTGGTAAAAATGACAGCTGCCACATTCCAGTGGCAAACTAAAAACCCTGTACACAGAGACACAGCAAAAAGTGCAACTGTTTTTTTGTTAATTCCACTGAAAAGTTGATAAGGGCCTTTTTAAAACAAATCTTTACACAAGCCCAGTCATTGTTTTAGTCGTCCGCTCTACAAACAAGTCACAGTGACAATCAAAATAAATAGGGTTTAGTACTGAGTAGAGGCTGGAGAGGGGATGAATTTAGACTGAAAATAGTCTATAACTTATTTTTTTCATCAATATGAG